ACAACACCCTACTGGGCCTCAGCTCACTGCCGTGGAAAACGTGAAGCACAACCGCTCACATCATATAAAAATTCACGGAATGAAACCTGTGAACAATCATTAATTTTTTCTTCCGTTTGCAAAAATGAAAACAAAAGCTTCCATTCAGAACTTCTGATGCGCTGTGAGCGGTGGTGCACTTGCATTCAGAAGAGATGTCATACAAGACGTCATATCTTTCTTCAAAATGATCGACTCAAAAAGTACTTTTACAATTCTTTTACTTTCTCAGTCAGTTCTAACACAAACTCAAGTCCAACCTCTCTTGAAACTGAATTTGAAACACAACAGCTAGAACAGAAAGATTTCAGGCTTTGTCTACGAACAAACGACCAAGATTTGATTAGAATCATACAACACCACCAGAAGGTGATTGGAAGTTTCTCAACTATTTGACAACTCGCTTGAAAGTTCTGTTGTCATTATGGTTTCTAGCTGCTCATTGGAATATAGATGATAATGGTTGAGAATATCTAATGGGAGGTAGACTATAGACTTCATTGGCCGTTCTATGAGTTCTTCTTAACAGATTAGACCTGATAATAGCTAAGCTTTAGAATGGGTTGAGCAGATAAGATAGAACGGAAGAAGTTCCAATCATATTATTTCAAATTCCTCTTGGACCTGGCTTGGCATTCAAGCTACATCAACGTTATGGTATACAGGACCAACATGCATTTAGGCGTCGTCATCTTAGCACTCATTGCTCATGTGGTAAGTCAAGAACTGCTACATGCTAGTAATATGCTTTCAAGTCTGGTCAATCCCTCATTTTTGATTTCTCTCAACCAGCCACAAGTAGTCAACTTAAGTCTATAGCTTCAGCAGGGTTCGCAAGTGTTTCTTTGAGGTTTGAATACTCTTTATTATAGATTGAACCGATTTTCAGAGCTCTCTCGACAACCGGCTTCGATATGAACTTTTGCAACAATGCCAAGCTAGCCGCAGACGGTATGTGTACTTAGGTTTCGTAATAATGAAAGCAATCAGCTCAAATTCCTTACTCAATCTACATAACACCACAAACATCCGATGATGGTAAAGCACAAGCGAGGAAATTGAATGAAGGGTTGTTCAAATGTGAACTCTACACACCTATGTTCTGGGTTCAGGTTGGAAGATCTATCAGGGTTGAACGTATCACACACTCATAGATTGTCAAACCAAACACATGGAAAGACTCCCAAAGTAATGTGAAATTCTTAACTGATCTCATCGATGAGGCGCACAGTGTAAGTCACGGAACATGACAGGGATAGCCTATGCATTTCAATCTAGATTTATCATCAAAACGTAGGAATCTTTACTACAGCTGATGAATGGAATACAATCATGGGCGGAACAAACATAACAAACATCTCAGGACTGTACCATCCTCTGTGGTGAGCCCTACCTATAATGATAACACAAATATTATTGAAATAGGTATCGCGGAACTACCGCACATATCGACTTCAATGATTTCAAGAGTTTCGGAGGTTGGATCTCACCACTTATAAAACAATGTTCGCAGAACGTTAAAGTCGGAGGGGTCACAGGCAACTCGTAGGAAGAAAGAATAATTGAAAAATTAAAATTACACTTAAGGAACCTCTACTTCAGCAACAATTGAACGCAGCACATGGAGGACCAACTACTTCAATGATCATCGACATTTTCCAGTTGTTTTAATCCTTTATACTCATCGGATATTAAATGAAAGTACTATATTACATATATGGGGAAAATAATATAACAATAGAACTAAGTTGGCCAATCATCAGATGGTTCGAATAACATGACTATTCAATCGCTTCCTATACACCTTACACAACTAACAATTTGGGAAAGCCTCTTTCTATGATATTATAACCAATTCCGGACTACGTATATAGTTCATAGTAAACAGGAGGAAATGCAGCAAACAATTAACAAAAGAAGCTCCACAACGCTAAATATAGCATAAACGGGCAGTCTTGGACGTCAAACCGAAAACTTAGTACGCATGTACGCACAACTTAGTTTTAAGCTTAGAGCGGAAGCATTTGCTATTCAAAAACTTTTTTTGTGTAAAGGAAGCGACCAGTGATAGGTCGTTATCTGCTTCATAGTGAAACAGAATAGATATATATATATGATTTGTCTAATTAGAATTGTTCCTCTTTGAGTGCTGTTTCGTAGAGATGCTTTTGTTTTTTGTCTAACAAAGGATGCGAATGAGTCGTAAAGTTGTTGGTTTCCTGTCTGCTAACATGCTTTACTTGGTTCTTTATGTACTTAATACATATTCCATTATATTCTTCATGCGGTTATAACAGATCTAATAAAAAATCGATGAATTCATCTTCATTACCCACGTTCTGTTCTCAAGATATAACGATAGCAACCGGTTAGTGCGACTGCCGCAACCAAAATGAGATTGCTCATGTATAATCCACGTAATACTCATCGATGACGTTTTCTTATGCTGTGATGGTGTTAAACACTTTTTGATATTTGTGAGGTTTCGCTATGTTTTTCACTGAAGTAGTATTCATCATTTGAAGTCAAAAACATTCACAAATATTTGAATTGGTCATTGTTCCAATTGCTCTTCTATTTCTTCCTTATTAGTTATGACTGTCATGTATATTCGATTAGACAAATATTGAAAGAAAACTCAGCTCGGAGCTAAAGCATTTCATTAAAAATGCATTAGGATTTTCAATAACCGAAGCGTTTTCTCATTCCTCTGTCCCTTTCCGTTGAAAGAGAGATGGAGGAGAATTCATAAAAAGAGTCTTCTTCACTTTCACGTTCGTTTCATTACTACATATGTGCAATGACGTCCTTTTTATTATTGCCTTATTAGCGATTTGCAACTTCCGTAGCCTTAGTGACATGCTCGAATCATTAATATACATTCCTATTGCCTTGACTCAAATTGATTTCTTCCCGAAATTCGACACGACTATCTTGTGTTTCATCGAGATCTTGAAAATAAATGTGGCATTTCTACATTTTTCTTAATTCAGGAAGACGAGAGCTGATGCTTGCAAAGCTTCGGCGTTATGTGCTTCATCCTATCGTTATGAAATGCCGGTTGGAAGAACTTTTAAAGTTAATCGCCTTAGCTCTTCTTTTCTCAATTCTGTATGTATTGCTCTTTGGGAGTAGTGTAAGTAGAGTCAAAGAAGTAACTCATTACTTTCCTAACTTTCAGTATGATATAAGAGATGTTGTTGATCGAACGAAGTTCACTCAAACATCAATAGGATATGCTAGACCTAGAATGGTTTGTTAGTTAATAAACATCCAAAACAAAGATTTCGCATTACAGATAAGAAATGATTTCGTCGCTGCTGTTTTAGTTATGTGTGCTACACGAGCGCATGCTATAGATAATCATTTGAAACTTTTAACCAAGTAAGACAAGAGTCTCATGGAAGTTCATCCTCTTAACTTTAAGATATCGACCATCGAACACTGCATTCCCTATAATCGTTTCACAGGATGGCGATATGACCTCTGTTAAGAACGTTATATCTACGTATATTACCTCTTCTAGCAATATCACTTATATGCAGGTCTGAACTCTTCGCATTTCTTTCAACAGTTGTTTATAGCATGAACGAAAAACTTCCCAAGGAGCGGCCAAGAACTATCCGCTTATCACAGCGCATTATAAATGGGCTTTCCAGAAAGTTTTTAATGAAATGAAATATGATTATGTAATTGTAACAGAAGGTACCAACATCTCTCTGACTTCTATCATCCTACATGACATCTTCAGATGATTTGGAAATATCTTCCGATTTCTTTTCCTATTTTGCATGGGGGAAACGAGCATTGGAAGCTGATGAATCCCTTTGGTGTGTGTCGGCCTGGAACGATAATGGATTGCCAGGGAGTATTGATGGACGCACGCCTGATCTTACATGGCGAACAGACTTCTTTCCTGGCCTAGGTCTGTTTGAATTCACTGAAGAAATTGATGTTTTTCAATATAGGATGGCTTCTATCGAGAAAATTGTGGGAAGAATTAGAGAGTGGTTGGCCTGACGCTTATTGGGATGATTGGATGAGGAAGCCCGAAGTACGAAAGGGTAGAAGTTGTATTAGGCCGGAAATCCCTCGAACTTCCCATAACATGGAGTTAGCAGGCAAAGGATCGAGCGGGTATGTAGGGAACTGAGCTTTGTCGAACATATTATTGATTCAGCGGTTTGTATAAGCAAATACTGAAACAAATCACACACTCGAACGTTGCGGTTAACTTCGACTTGATCCCCGTTCGCAATATGGTGAAGGATAGGTAAGACGGGGTCTATTGCTGAAAGAAACCTTTGATTAAGATTCGACAAATATCTCAGCAAGCTATTAGTAGAATCTCATACTATCAAACTGACAGCGTCAACAGCGAGTTCTCTCAAAGAAACTGAATTCGACGTTTCACATTCTTACAAGTAACTACTGTTCATAAGGATTCTATAACCAACTTGGCTTTAGAATTGTGTATGACAATGTCAGAACATGGTATAACATAGGGAACATTCTAGGAATCATGGTTGATATTCGGGTACCTCAACTTTCAATCTATCTAATCGATAAGTGACTATTGTAGGGGGGAATGCCTAGGACTGCTTACGATGGCGTCGTTTCTACAATGTACAAAGGCTGTAGACTTTATATAATTCCGGAAAATTTGGATATTCACAACATTGATAGCTTCAAGTATAATTCAACATGGGATTTACAACTTCGTTACATCGAGTTCGAAAAAACTTATTGTAGGCCTGGAAGGTGAGCGTTCTAATTGGAACTTGAATCATTTTAAACTTCCAGATTCCTTGGAGATTGCGATCCATATTCCGACGATATGAAACAATATTTCAAAAAACGCCGACATTCAACAAAATTAGAAAATTGGCTGCCACTAGTCAGGGTTTAAACTATTTTTTTTCAAAGATGCCCACTTAATTACTGCTTTTTCTCATATTTGGCTGGTATTCCTACGTGTCGTTTTTCTTAACTTTTTAATATGGGTATAATGTGATGTTGCGAAAGATCTCAAGAATAGTTTAATAATAATAAATCTATCAAATGAATCATTGTGTAACCGTGTTATTGAAAACAGAATCACAGATGTGTTCAAAGTTGAAATTGTAAACCTAATCTTAGGAAAAAACATCAAAAGAGAGTTGCATCGGCCGGGAATCGAACCCGGGTCGCCCGCGTGGCAGGCGAGCATTCTACCACTGAACCACCGATGCTCGGAATTACTCCCTATACTCAACAAATAGATTGCTGTAGTATGACAATAATCACTCCTTGTTCTCTCAGGAGTTCAATGGTGCGTTATAATCGAATGAAAAGCTAAACATACCTGTAGCAACCGGTCTGATCGTGTATTAATACTCAAATAACTCCCTCAAGGTTACGTGGACTTTCCACGTCACATCACGTTCACGGTGCAAGCAAGCATAGCATTATTCAAATTCTGACGTCACTGATGGTTAAATCCATTCTGCAACCCTATTTTGAGAATAAACAGAAAACGAAAGCAACAAACTCAATCAAGTCAGCGTTGTAAACGGCTGTAACAGTTTACAAAGATTTGTATAAGCTTTCTCTTTCTGGTATGAACTGCGTGTTTTTAGGACTCTTAAACAGTTTCGATGAAACTCTCTTAATTAGGAGCCTGTATCTGTGAGGCGCAAAGGTTCTTCTTGCATAGATCACTTCAATTCATGATTCAATTAATAGATTCAAAGTACGAACTGACTTTAGAAATCGGGCTGGAGATTGGCTTAAACGTCGAACTTGGAACAGAGATTATTATGAAACCCGAGGTACATAGCTAATCAGGATTCTATCGTCTTTCTGCAATGTTTAATACGACTGCCTAACTCGCATCTTCCGTTTCCCTCTCATCGTAATATCGTACGTAGTATTTCTTGTCGAACTTTCTCTTTCTATCTCATAAAAAAAGATTGAAGCCTTATAAATGCTGTTGGCACCCGCCTACTTGCATGAATCTTCCACGGCAAAAGCAGAGGCCTACCGAATTCTTCGACTCATTGCTAAGCTTGGCCTTCAAACTTATTTGGAAGGAACATATCTTGCATCATCAATATTGCAACCTAACAAGCCAGAATCATTTCTTGCTGTTTCTTCCCTTGCCTTGGCCGGTTTTTCATAGAAGCCTTCGGCGCTACATCTCATTAGGACGGAAGCTACCTTCACGCCCTTTAGAGCTAAAGACCATGAATGTATTCACTCCTCTCAGATTTGATTCATTTCACCGACGTGACAACATCGGTTGAAAAGAACTCTCTTGATGCCTTTCATGAACGCTTACTCTTAACATTCATTTCTCTTCTCATGCACTTACTATTTCAAACGTTCTCGCTTTAGATGTTCAAACTTTGCGCTCTGGTGGCGATTTCTTCAGTGTTGGTGAGTTATGCCGTTGAACGCAATCTTCGTACTGCATGTAAGACTTTCAAATACTGAACAGAACACAGAGAGTTAATTCTAGCCAACCTTTTACCTCATGGAGTGAACCATCCTCCAAGAGAGCGTCAGTTCCAAATTCAAATCCCTGGCTTAGACGAACCATCCAAGATCAGAAAGGTGAGCTAGTTATCAAATCACATGTTCTAACTTGTTTATACAGTCTAAGAGATCCGAGAGCAGAATCAAGCGTAACGTTGGAGGATATGCCCAATCGGTAAGTTCTGAAAAGATGCTGTGAAATAGCTGTTCGTAGGGTGGTCAATACGGAGGAGCTCCCCCACAATACTTCCAACCTCAACCTCAACCCTCCTACTCTCAAGCAGCTCAACCTCAACCATCATACTCCCAAGCTGCTCCACAACCATCATATTCTCAAGGTCCACAAGCTCCACAACAAGCTTATGTAAGTTTGAAAAAATGCTTATTCGATCAATATCCTTTAAGTTTCTAACTGGTATGAATTAATTGAATAATATTGCTTTTCTGCGTTCTAAACTTATTTGCCTAATAATCTGACAATTTTATGTTTCTTTGCTTTGGATGATGCTTCTCTCAGATTCCACAACCAGTGCAATATGTTCAACTCCCACCTGATGCGAGATATCCCCCCTATCTCATCCTACAGGGAAAACAGGTCTGCCGACTTTCCATTTTATTGAAAGCGGAGTGATAAGCTTGAAACTAATGTGCCAATACTAACGTAACAAGTTAGGACCTCGCAACTAATCTTAGAAATTAACATTGAAAACGAATGAAACTAATGAAAAGAAAATCAAGTTCATCAAACTTATTATTCGAACCTTAATTCGTTCCACATTCAGCTCGCTCCACCTCAAGGATATCAAGCACCCCAAAGCCAACAGGTTAGTTGAACATAATGAATTCCCTGTTCTCCTTGACAACAAATTATTTTTTCAGACTGTCGTCAGTTACTATCGCCCACCTCAGCAACAATCTGTTTATCAGCAACAGAGATTAGGTGTTCAAGTAATTACACTAAAAGTTTCTGACTCACAACGTATCTTCTCTACAGGTTCCTCCACCAATTCAACAGAAGAGCGTCGCCTATCAACAACAGCCACAGGTTTCTATTCAAGTCTATTCTATACACTCATTTATTACCAATCAGATTCAACAACGTCCTAATAATGCCATCTCAGTCCAACCTCAAGTTCACTACCAACCACAGGTTATGCTGGAGTATAAGTATCGCTTCATAACTGTTTCATATAGGTTGCCCCAGCACCAGTGCAACAAAGAGTTCACCAAGGAGCTTACCAGGAAGGACCATACGCTGGAGTAACCTCTTGATAACACCACTTAACTCAATATAATTATTTTCAGAGAAAGGAAGTAATCCAACAAAGAACCACCATCTATCAACAACGTCCTCAGGTAGTTTCATGCACACACACCTCGATTACATTGTATTTATAGACCCTTCCAAATGCTGCTCGCCCTGTTATTCGCCCTGCTGCCAAGCCATATCAAAGATTCATGGTTAGTACAGACCTCCCTTCGTCTCATTATAATATTCTACAGGTTGCTCCTAACCCCAGCAATGGAGGATATGATAACGAAGGATACCAAGAGACCGTAACCGAACTTATTTGAAACAGACTATCTCATAATTCTGGTTCCAGGTTCCTCAAATTCAGCAAAGACCAGAAGTTCCACAGCCAAGACCTCAACCACCTCGTCCTCAACCAAGTGTTCAACTTACAGAAGAAGGCTACGGACCATCTGACCAAATTCAAGTGAGCCCAGCTCCAGTAAGTACCAGAAAAAAAGAATTTTGAACATTTCTTTCTCTTAAGGTTATCCCAGTCACTGTCACCAACGCCCCAGCTCTCCCTGCTCAACCAGTAAAAAACCATAGTCACACTTCTTTGATATCTTAATGAATGTTTAGAACTATATCGAGGAACCATACGTACCAGTTCAACCTGTTAGAACCAGCCCTCCAGTTACTCGTCCTCCTGTTACTCGTGCTCCAACTACTCAACCACCCCCACCTCCACCACCAGTTCAGACTACTGTAAGCCTTAATAACGAAAACGATATGAAATATCAAACCTTCAGCCAACATATGATGAGCCTGAGCCTGAAACCGAAGCTCCAGCTCCATATGATGAACCAGCACCTGTAGAGGAGGAATGCTTCTATAACCCCAGTGGTGAGCCAATGTTGCAGACTACATTCATTAATCGCTTGATTATTCTTTGAGGTTACATCTGCTGTAACGAACTTCTCAATGACTTAATGGTTGAGACATACCAAGAATTAGAAAACAGACCTAAGTTCCACACTTGCAACGTTCAAGCTTTAGTTAACACCCTCCAGGTATTAGAGTCAACCTTAGCAGGAGGTGAAGCTATGTTTTTCAGAAAAAACTTGAGGACGCCTTCAAAACTCCATTCGAAACTATTGCTGCTTATGATGATTTCTCCCAGAGAATCAATTACAAGAAGGATCTTGTTTGCAAAGTCGAGCTGAACGGACGGTAACTATTTGACCAACTTTACAAAATTGGAAAAACCAGAGAACATTTCGTCCTACATGTTGCCTGTGAAACTTATTTGTGAAATGCGATTCAATAGCAATCACATGGTCACTGGCAACATCACAAATCCTATCGTACTTTGCTAAAGTTGAGCGGCTGCATACATACACCCATTTTTCATAATCCTTTCTTTTTCACTTTTTATCTCTCTCATTCCGCTTAGCAGGTTTTTTTTCCATTTTAACAATCCCATTCTTCAACACATTAAATCAGCGGAAAGATATCGGCGATAATGGGACAAACAGATTCATGCCTATGGGTACATAGCAAGGACGCCAAACATGAGTTTTCAACAAGGATAGCTTAAAAGGCATTCCGGTTGATTCCGTTGACGTCAATATTTGTGTCCCATCTTTCCAGTCCAATATCGTTTTTTGCTAAGTCGATTTAAGCGTAGAAAGTAGGGAAGGTTGAAATAGGAAGAAGCCGCCCCAGTTTTTTATCTTTGGGAACTGACACATTCCATGCAGCCGCATAAAAAAGTTGCCATTATTTCACTGCAAACTATCAAATCAAGGGGGAACTGTACTTTCCTTTTCAGTTACATCCTTGCTTATGCTGCTGTTGGCGCCGACGAGACCAAAAAAGTTGTCCGTTCCATTAGCATCTAAGAGAAAAAAAAAGAAACAAGAAGAAGAGAAAAGAAGATGAAGCTTTCAAACTTGTTTAAAACTCAAAACAACTTCGATATCTGTATATTTATTCGAGTTTCGATTTCATAAAACATTTGTAAATAAAACGTTTAGCGAGATCATCTATCTATCTATTGGCTGTATGATGGGAAATATAAAAAACATGAACATAAAGCTCACCTTCTGCCCTTAGGTCGTAACCACGGACATAATTCGTTTGGAGTTCTGCGATAAATCAGTACACCCTTTCTCCATACCCAGAACCTGATAAACGTTCTTACGAATGCGCCTGGAAAATCGTTTAATAAAATAATAAACTCCGATGTCGTTTCAGATGGATTTATTTTTGAGAGCGAAATATATCATTTCCGCATTGTGATAGACTAAGAGAATTCTCAGCTCAAAATGTTCCTCATAAATCTTTCATGATAAATCTTGAATTGACAGCAACAATCAAATTACTTCAAGAGCTAGAATTAAATTGACGAGTTTTCGAGGAAAAAAAAGATTGATCGTATAATCGCTATGATATATACTTCGATATCTTTTAAAGTGAATGATAACTCACGGACTTACTGCTACATGTAGTATAGCAGATATGGAATTCCATGCCATCCAAACAAAGTGTCCGAAGAACGTTGCTACAGGATGATCTGGTAGAAACCAATATTCCCAGATGAAGAAGCCAAGTATGTGGAAAACAGAAAGAAGAAGAACCTATTTGTATTTTGAGTTGCATATGAAAGACAGTTGTACCTGTATCGTCAAATACACTTCTCTCTTGCTCAGGATAGCCGCTTTCTGTAAAGATACAATGAATTCAAGTTCAACTGAATGATTGTACAAAGTAAATGTACAGAAAAATGCAAGCATAGCAGAATATGCCAATACAAACTTCTGCTAATGATATATTAGCACTTAGACGGCGAATTGTAGATGAGAGCAAACGTCCAGCCTGATTAAATAAATATGATTTCAAGAAAAAAAAGTTATAGACAACTTCATAATGAAATGTGTAGGTTGGCACTACATAGTAGAAGCGACACCAAGGAGTCAAGTTGAGACTTATGATTATAATACAGAACATCCAGCAAATTCCCAGATATATCTGAAAAAACGTAAAAGATAATTCCAAACACTCATCCTACCTTGAGCATGAATTTGGAAAAAACAACTTTTGATTCAAAATGAAAGACAATACTAACAAGACGATTCACAGTAAGCAGAATGGACAACACCAACATTGTGCACCAACTGCCGTTCATCACAGCTCCGATAATCTATAAATATCAATATTGAGATAAACAGAGGGTAAATAACTTACGCGTTCCCAGATACGATATCGCTCGTGTCCATCCAGAATATAGAAACCGGTGGAGAAATGGATTAATAATTGTAAACAATCAGCTATTCCAATGTGAAACATTATTTGGTAAGCCATTAGGTTCTTATAATCCGAGTCTTGATGTAATGCCTGAATGATGAAAAGAAGATTGGTTAACATGAACTTAACTTACCAGCATGACAATGACGTATAACACTAATGATGCTAATGAAAATAAAAATACAAATATTGCAAATGGGACTTCTTGCCCATAGTAGATGCTTGCTGGGTAAGGTTCATTAGTTATATTACCTTAATAGGGTAATGTACTCTCAACCATTAGCTCAACTCAAACCTAATCCGACAAGCTCTATCATCCTTCAATTGTTTTTAATGGTATGAAGATGGTTGATCTATACAAACATTAAATACGAAAGAACACAGAAATTCACAACATGTTCACAACGTCAAACGAGTAACGTTATGAAATGAAATGAAATATGAACATATTATGAAAATCTAATAATGGTGAGGTAAATTTATTGCTTTTTTAGCTATTTACTACACCTCTCTCTCGCTCACTGTCTCAGCGGTCTATGAAATAATGAAATCAAAATGAGATAACTATTTGAATGATCTGTGCTACCACATACAAATATGAGCTGTCAAAAAAAAATATACCGAGAACAAGGTAGAATGCAACCGATGATGTGCGAAAGATATGAAAAACACATGGCTTCCAGTACACAGAATGAATACAGATTATATTATGTGTACCTGACAAGATAGTAGGATCATTAGCATAAAATATCAGGGAGGTATTGAGACGCTTGTTTCGAGTACTAAAAATTAAAGTACACTGGTGATCAAATTCAAATTCGAATACTAACTTACTCTCTTATGTTTCAGAAACATATGCATTTGTACAAGTTTCAACATGGCATAATATCTCACAAGAAGGGATTTGGTGATTATGTTTACATTTTCATAGAAGATAGTTCAAATCCACCAAGGAGGTTTGAAAGGTTGAAGATTTCAAAACCAGAGATGTTATCTGAAACAGCTTTTATCATTTTACTATAGAAAGCGCCCACTCTTCTCAGTCAAATTCATTTTCTTTTATTCGTTATAGTTCTGGAACCCCATCTGTGAAAGTACAGTAAAAAAGATCATGTGGTACGATTGATTTCTGATTCAAATCGTCGAAGTTCAATTCCTATTCATTCTAGTACAGTGAAAAACCTTACTCAAGTAATGATCCTGATGTCATGGTACATTCTTTCTGTAACCTTCTTTCATGCTAAAACGTTGTGAACAGAAAACAGAAACTCACGAGACAAAAAACGGAAAGCGAAACAAGAGTATTATACAGTTTTCCTCTGCTGTTTGTCTTTCCCAAAACAACTTTAGGATTGCGGTGTATAGGTTCATCTTTCATTCTTCTCTCAACTAACTTCTGTATTGCCATTATGCTACAGACTGAAATTAACAGGGGTATGATTAATGTCTATTGTGAAGGCGGTTAAATCTTATCCGCATCTTCGCTTTTAGTTGAAAAGAACAGTCAGAACATACCTTTCTATTCCTTATCTCTTAGCCTTACAATACGTTTTTCGTTACTGTACTTTATATTCTCATATGTACTTCTGAATAATGAATGTCATTGTACATGTGTTATACCTTCTTAGTCATTGTGATCCAGAACGTGTATCCGATTTGTTGTTCGAATTCTTGCCCATCTCACAACCTCGAATACTCAGAATGGGCGAGCGTTATTATATTTTCTGAAGAACAACATAATTTTACTTTATAAATAAGCATCCTACGAGGCATCTGTTTGAAAGTTTCAACGAAAAACTTTCATCAAATCGCCAACAGGTGCGAGTTTTTAGGAAACTCTTTAGACAGTACTGTCTCCTCCTATTCTTTTCATATTCATTCACTCTATCTGCGGCGGTTCGATATATACTTCACACATGTATCTGTAACATAAACTTCAATTCTCGTTTTTTTGTCTATATATACATTCATTCTTTCCAGATAAACTGGCATATTTCACTGTCGATGTCATCTCCAGACTGGTGCCATTTGAGCCAGCAAGAGGCTAATGAATTTACAGTAACTTCAAGAACTCCTTGTCTTGAACTAGAAGATAGGCACAGTTCCTTGGGTGAGAACTGCGGGGGGAAGCGGAAATTGACAATCGGAGGATACCTATATCTGAAACTGAAGTAAGCTCTTAACTGAATGATCTACAGAAACAATCTCAAACATTCAAACCACCTATGGTTCATATTGATATTTGGTTTGGCGCGTAAGAGAAAATAAAAATATAAAAAATAAACGAAACCAACCGTATTACGTTACTGATGAAAACATTGAGGAAGTTTGAATGAGACGCCACATTCTCACGTGAACCGACGTGGCATTTTGAACAGGTCGTATGCTAATTTGGCGTTGGCTTGATACTCATGGCCTATGGGTGAGATAGATGAGATAACGAACATACAAAAAGCGTTGTTTAGGTAAACGGAGAGTAATCGTAACTATCTCTCGAAAATATAAAAATAATCTGATGAGATCGTTTGAATAAGTTTATTATCGTTACAGAGAAAAGCCTGAGTCACATGATGAGAATTTCATAACAGCAGACGGATGTGCCAGATTGGTTTCCTTTTTTACAACATTTCTCTCCGTATTTCTTGCGACTTTTTTGGGCGGTCTTCTGTTTTACGTACAGTACATTCATTTAATAAGACACAAACGGATTAATTCAGATAATAGAACAGAGAGGTGAAGATGTGGTTCCTCGTGATGACTGTTTCACTACAGCGCATACAGATCTTGAGAAGTACGATTGGTCTGCAAGCTTTGCTCTCAGAGAAGTAGAAGACTGTATTAGAAAGTGGGTATAGTAAAGAAAATCTTAAAAGTTATTGTTTTGCAGTCGATCAAGAATCAATGATCCTGCCTCTGGCTTTATCTATGCCTGGTCACTGTATACCACAGTGGGCTACGGAAACACAGTTCGTTCTACTTCTTAACTATTGATCTGAAAAGCATTTTAAAGTACCCTCACACCAACCTGGGCCGTCTTCTCACAATGCTTTTTATTTTATTTTGGGTCCCACAGTTTATGACATTCAAGGTAGCGTCGAGCTTTATATATTGAATTCATTCTGTCTTAGGTTGAATTTGGTCGAGTTGCCACCAAGTTTGTCATCGGGAGCGGAAAGTATCTACAAAGGATTTGGTTCCGCTTGAGGAAGAAGAGGCAATCGGTTTTGATGAGCAAATTTGAAAAGTGTTCGTCTTTCAGGTACGACAGTTCAACACGTCCTCTGGACAGTGTTCTCGCCTGTACATTAGCTTTGTTCATAAGCATCTATTTCGCTACAGTGACATATATAGTCAAAGTTTGTTTGAATTCGTTGAACTTCTGTAAATATATTTTACTTCAGATTATTGAAGGTTATGACCTGTTAACATCTTTGTATCTTCTTTTCATAACCGTCTTCCTAGTAGGTTTAGGAGATGTTGTACCAAGCACATCATTATCGACGTTCCTGGTATTGAAACCCCTGTTTCTTCTGGGAGATGCCCTAACATCATATATGAACTATTATTTCCATGTGAGTGTTCTACTTGGAAATCGAATAGTTTTCTTCATTCAGGCCCGAACTCGTGTATGGCTGCTCAGATGGTCTATTTGGGTATCCTCTTTGACAGACCGATTGGGAAAAGTTACACCAACATCCTCAGTGAGTAACTTACGCGACGACTGCGACTTTCCTGTGATAACAACAACAAGCATGCCGATGAGTAAGAATCTTGTAAAAACTTTTCTTACTTCATTTGAACTCTCTTTAGACTTGCTAAACACTGAAAGCGAAGACGATGACTTATCCTCACTTGGTTTAACTCAAGCTCCTTCACTTATTTCTTGCACAACACAAACTAGCAGCTGTAAAAGAGAAATATGATTACGGTTATCTGCTGCCATCCTCTGTTTTGATTCACCTCAGATCCATTTTCACTTGAATGCAAAAGTCATAATCGATATATTAGCTGTAAACGTTGTCATTAAGACACAAATTGAAAATAAATTTTTTTATGAAAGAGTTGAAAGAGTGTTTTCGATTCGGACGACTATTGTTTCACAACGATTGGAATGAAAGTTACAAACAAAAAACAAAAGAACTTTCGATTCGAATGGCTAAGGTTTCCTAAAATGGCACGACTGACAATAATTTCTAAGCGTTCTCTAACGATTTAACGTAATGCCTGACATTTTCATAAGTCAGGAAAGTAACAACAGCAGCAGGCAGAAGGCGTATGTTGGCCATCAGACAACCTTTATAAAAGCCTTTCAAACCTTCTTTGCCTATGATATTCTTTGATGTTTGGAGTACATTCACGTTATTAACATTATGATCCTATAAGGAAACAGATGAGAGAGAAGTCAATGAGTGCACTCTAACCTGCACTCTAGTACGAAGGACTTGATAGGGGAAAATGGCTGTAGTGGCTATGACCTTCGAAACAATAGAACAATATGTAGTTTCAAAGTTGCTCTGAAAGCATGAATCATATCATTCATCCACCTTGCATTCATTGCTCACCAGTTGCGAGTCTTGAACCATTCCTTTTGATTTGCAAATCTCATCTTTCATAAAGTTATAAATCATGAACTGAAGTGCGCCATGTGTTGTTCCAATCACTCCGATCAGAAATCCCTAGGAGTACTCTCAGAACAAATCGAGAAGACAGGCTATCTTACCCTATACAATCCTCTGATTCCCTCTTCTCTAGCTATCTTGAACAAGCAGTCCACCATCCCCTTATAACGCTTAGTGGTGTTAACATTCTCATATTGAAGAAACAACCTAAGGAACAGTGAGATCTTCTGACATCTAGTCTACCTACCTTGTCTTGGTTACCCATATTGGGTTAGTGAAAAGCATAACGCAAGTTCCTGAGATCATCCCCGAAGAGAAATTTATGGTATTTTGGTAATTGGAAGCTGCGGGAAATAAGTCACGAATTTTATGATACCTAAAAGCACATGAACAATCAGCTTTTCAAATGATGCTCTGACCAGTGAAAATACAGTCCCCAAGACAACGTTGCTCCAACCATATTCGGAGTGAAGCCTTGGTACATCCCTCTAAAGCCTGAAGCTTTAACAATACAATGTGTAGCATGCCAGTAACTTCTATATGTTGGTCTAAGAGACGTCCCATCATTTGCTAAATCATCATGATGTAAGATGCAACACTCTAATGACATACCCGAAAACCGCGTTTTCAGTAAATCCAAAGGATGACAAACCGCGGTACTTACTAGTCCACTGCTCAATCCTCCTATCAACTGATCATACTGAGAGAGGGAGGACTTCAGGTTTGTCATACCTCAAAATACAATTCAATAAGTCAGAAGCTTTCACGATATGATTTGGAATTACATCCTCCGCTTGAAAAGAAAGAAAACAAGAAAAGAATAATATTTATATGAAAACCGGCACTGTCATAAGAATGGATAAGAGAAGTTTTTTATTTTACAGGATGTTAACCGTGGATTCAGGAACGATTCCACAACCGAGAAGGCCTTTACCACTCCAAGTACGGGGATGGAGCTCAAGACGGAACGGGCGACCATCCCGAATTACAGTTATACGAACCATTTTCTGGAAAATAGAAACTATAAAAATTCATTTAAAACAGCCTTACTCCTTCATTCTCTCTAGTCACTTCAGAGAATTGAGCCATGTCTTTGAAATTTCCATGATGAAGGGGTCCATATTGGATGATGAGGTCACCAACTTTGAATCCATCTAATGCAGCAGGAGAGTCAGCAGTAACAGTAGTCACCTTGAAATTGAAAATATACAACGGAAATCAGTAATAGAAACCTTAGCAAAAGCTTCATTTGATGTACGATGAACGTTGGGCACAGAGGCAGTTGAATCATTTGATTTATCAACCTGAGATTTATAGGTCAGGAGGTCAAGATTGAACTTTATTCAATTGACTCACCTCCATAGCATCAGAAGTAGCTCCGAGTTTAGTATTTGTTATCAAACCTTCGGCAATTTTATCCATTAATTCTTTTCGATCGTTCCTAAAATAAGAAATAAACATAAAGATTGCTTCAGAACCACACCTAAGGAGAATAATAGCATTTCTCGCAATTCTGATGCCATGAACATCAAGCTGAGCAATGGGAAAGCCTTCTTCATCAACAAGAGGAGTATCCATGGTACAGTTATTCTGCAAAGATAAGGTATGTGAAGAGGTCTTCTGACTTTGGCAATACGAGCTCAAGAACTTTGAGATGTTCCTCAATCTCAGCGTCAATCTTATCCCTGCATTTGATGAGTTCTTTCACGTCTTGTTCGGACATCCTAGGTTGACTTGGTGTTAGAGTTCGAGAAGAAGAAAGGAAGATAGTTCGACTGATTTCAACATCTTTTTAAGAGCAATCATCTTATATTACATGAATACTTATTAACACAAATAACAACATAAGCACCATTCAAATATTTTTTTGGAGAAATATACTGTGCCTAACGATAAACACTACTCAACAGACTATAAGGAAAAAAGTGCAGCAACGTAAAGAAAAGGTTTCAGAGAACAATAAATGCAGCTTCAACAAGCTGAGGCAAACAGGGTATCAGGAAGAGATCAAGGGTTTAGTAAAAGTTGGAGTTGTAACTATCTCTTGAATTGCTGTTGCCGTAATCGGACCTTCCTCTACCCCGTCCTCTTCCACCTCCTCGGTAATCACTACGTGAATTACCACGGTAGCCTCCCCCGTTTCCACCACCGCGGGAACCTCCACGGTAATCTCCGCCTCTTCCTCTGCAAGATACACATAAGGTATGATGACTATTATACTTTACCTTCCACGCGGGGCGCGATAAGACGAAGGCCGGTCAGATGAAGCTCGGTCAAACGATCCTCTATATCCCCCTTCTCCCATATCATCATAGGAGTCATGGACATCATTGCCAGGGTCTGTGTGGTCATCAGATCCAGGGTTTCTCGACCTTGGATGGGTAAAAGCCATTTTAACAATATATGGCGACTGAAAAACACACATCACCAGTCTGATGAGTTACGTTTAATACCTTTCCAGCAGGACTGGGAACTGGAGTATGATTAGCAAGGGATAGTGCTTCCGTTGCTTTTTCTAGAGAATCAAACTCAGCCGTACCCGAAGAGGATCTCTCGGTACGGCTGGGAAAAACAAAAGTGCTAGCTGGTAGTGGGGCTCCTCTTTCAGCGAATAACTGGAAGGAAAAACAGTTAAGTTTAACTATCCGTTTCACTCACATCCAGAATTTTTTGTCCGTCCATCTCAGGCGGAGCATTGTACCAATGGATGACACGAGTCGGAACAGTTAATCTGTTTCGAAGAGCAGCTTCAGCGGTGCTGAATCTTTGATTGCGGGAGTTCGTAAAGTCCTTGAAAGATGGCGTGCCATCAGGCATATCGAACGGTTCCCTTCGAAAAGATTTAGAAGATGAGTTTCAACCAATTTCCTTACTTCACTTCGCGAACACCCGCTTGAAAACTTGGTTTCAGCTCAATGGTCATTCCAAAAAGAGTTACACCCTGTAGGTATCCCATGACGTTGGTCACCTAAACGAAGAACCATGTTACTTATTATCGATTTTCCACGCGAACGCACACGTAGTGAAAAAATTTCATTTTGAACTTTTCATGCATTCGCGCGGTTGCTTTCCGATCTTATTCTCAAAATCAGCGTTAACATTGATATTTCAGATTGAATCAATAATGGTAACTCACGTGTTCTGGAAGTCCCATTTCTACCATAGCGGTATCAACCTTAGCTAGCATGAATTTAACTCTTAAAACATTTCCATACTGGCAAAACAAATTGAACAACATGTCACAATTAATCTTGGCTTGATCAAGCCCATACACCATGATAACACATCCATCACCTCCCTTGATGAAACTATTAGAATTGGGTTTGAAAGATTTACTAACATCTAATCCCCTGTCATCAGATCTGTAACCACGGTCAGTGCTACTAGAGTAACCACGATCGTAATTGTTATCTCGAGACGAGTACGAATCTGTAAGAATTTTGTTTAAAATCTATTTCTACAGCTCAAAACATACCATATGGTTCTCTTGAGCTATACGGATCACGTGTGTAAGGATCGTTGGGGGGATAAGAAGGTCGAGAACTAGAAGAATATTTTTTTTGAAAACGAATTCAGATGCGTTCTGACCTCGTAGGTCCCGGAGGAGGACCGCCCCGGAATGAGTTCCGAGATGGGAAAGTTGGTGCTGATGGGTAAGCAGCGGGATAATCACTTTGTTGTCCATAAGAAGCTTAAAAAAATGATAAGAGAGAGAAAGATTATGAGCGATACCTGGTGGTTCAGACGGAGCAGGGATCAGCGTTTTCCTTTGAGATGGTACAACAACGTCTGAAAATGAGACTGTTCATGAGTACTTGAATGGTTTTTATAAAATAGAAGACATAGGAAACAAAACAGGACCACCCAAGCATGCATGAGAAACTTACGTGTTCCTGAAAAAAGAGGTAAAAAAAGTGAACAGCAAAACCTTGATCCAATACTTTGGTGGTAGTTTGCTCCAAACTACATCGGCATGCAATTCCAGATCATCTGCACATGAAAAGAGCAGTATTATCACTCGCACTGTGATTCTCTGCTTTTAAACACTTCTACGTATTAGCTCTATGTGTCGTCTATATACATATCTCCGCATTACTTTCATGTTCGTCGTTGAACTATCTTCTTGCATCTCGATACCTCTAACTCATGAATGTCATGTATGTATAAATAGATATTGCTTTCGGTGGTCCTGTGTTTCATCAACAACATTGCTTTGAGTATAAAATTATCGTGCTTGTTATAGGTCTCTTTTGAGTTTTGGAATCGAAAATAACTAACCCAAGCTCCCTGTGTAATCTCTCTGATCATTATCCTGCCGGGTTACTCGTACATGGGTAGTCTGTAAACATACGAGTTCTTTTAATCAGAACAGATCAACACGTACCCCAGCAAACTCGACTTTCAAAGTACAACAGCCCGAATAGATATCCGCTCCATTTATAGCATGCTTAACAGCCTTAAACACTCAGTTGTTCAATATGTTTTCGAAATGAATGATGCAACCTTTGCTACGTCCTGAGACTCAAATTCAACTAAGGCAACTACGACGTGAGTTCTCTTCACGATACATATCCGTTTAACATCTCCATGAGAATTACAGATTTCATGAATGACCTGCAGATCTGGTTTAGTTCTACTCTGTTTGTTTCAACTCACATCAGCCGTAATAGGATATTGCACATTCGTAACGGTGAGCACCAGAACATGATTTGGAGTCGCTGACTCATGACCCATTCTTTGAATACTTTCTGATGTGGAGTAATTGAATTGAGCCGGTTGTCCTGCTACAAAAATTTGATTGCTTCCGGCAAACTCTACGCAGGCTTTGGCTCCTATACAAAATTATTTTGATGTATAGATGAAAAATTAGAACTACCATCAAGAGTCTCGAACTCGACGAGAGCCATGCTTTGAGCTCTTCTAACAAGAGCATAAGCTATAGGACCAAAGGGTCCCAAAGCCTCTAGTAGATCTGCTTCTGTGGCCTGAAAAATGGAAGTTAAAATTTCTATTATTTAAATTTGCTCACTTTGTGGTTTAAATTCCTAACATGCACTACAATAGAAGGATCTGGATTGATCGGATCAACATTTGGATCGTCATTACGGAACCGTTTGATAGGTGGTCCAGAATTCCTTAAATGGAAAAATGTGATGCAAGTCAAAAAGAACGAAGCTTACCTCTCTTCCTCATACATATCCCGCTTAACTGAAAAAAGAAAAATTAGTGAATAGTAACTTATAACGAGATAGTTAATCGTAAGAACGAGAAGAAGTGCACGACAAATGTTAAAAATAAATAATTTAATAAAAGGCAGCCCCAACTATCTAGTTGGGACTGCTTCATCCCATGGCCCATGTATGTTTCGCTTCTGTTTTTGTTTTTGAACGAGAATTAAAGGACAAATCAGAAGAACGAAGACATATAAAAGAAAAAATATTATAGATAGTTCAGGATAAGACAGGTCATAGACTAGCTTCGTCACTGAAACCCCAAGTGAAATGGAAATCAGGAAACCAACGTGAGGAAATTTCACGAATAGAGAATTCCTGAAAAGGTATCTTCATCTATCTATTCTCTGAATGAGCACTACCTAAAGGTCGAAGAACACGCATGCAACACAAAGGCGATTGATAGCATCATGAAGGCTGGAGAGTTTTCTTTCATCCGTGACAGCAGAAAAATTGCAGAGCACAATCCACTACTGAGGGAGAGTGGAAAAGAAACTCTGTAAACAGGTAGTGTGTTGTGAAGTATCAATTGAGTTACATTGGTGCATTGAGTCCGTAATCATGGAATATACAGCTTATCAAAGCTGACAAGAAAGAAAATGCATATATAGTATCCGTACTGATTGTATCAGTTAAAGTTCTAAACTAGATTGTGTGTGGTTGATTGTGTGTAGTATTGCAAACCTTATAATGGGTGTGAGTGCATATCCGAAGGAGAATAAAGTGAAAACGGTGTATGCATGATCCACGAAATCGACTTTTGTTTGTGTTAAGAAAACGATGAAAATTATGTACAGAGTTACAAACAAGCATATAAAGCTGTTGACTATTGTGACATCAAAGAAATTATGTTCTTGGACCTAAAAGAATCTCTGTAGGTGTAGTATAGTATGTGTTTTTGTCTTACATTCTCATATAACGCATAAAAGAGGGCTACACTACTTATGTGGAACATGAAATTAGCTGAACCTATAACTGCCTCCTTATAAGTATAAGATACCACTGACACTAAAATTATCTAGCCTTTAGAATATTCAAACAGAATCGCAAGTACCATTCTTTTTGAGTTCCTTCAAAAATTGTTCATCGCCTCCGGAATAATTGTCTGCATATGGTTGTCGAAAGTATAGTGCCTTTTTCCATTTCGTCATTAATAATTGTTCTTTCAAAAAAACTAAAACAGTCTCGTTAGCCATATAACAATCTTTCACGAATCAACATAACCACGTTCTGTCAACGAAATATTCAACTTGTCAAACGTATACATCAGTCTTATACAATTGTTCTTAGAAAGTACACATCAAAACCTCTCAGAAATACATATGAAGTTGTCGGTAAAATAATTACGTATATCTAAACTCATCTCTGTATATACATATACTTTTCCACAAATTTCTAAAATCATTCGAATTTCCGTAATTGTGTTACCGTTAATTCTTTGTTTTTGGCATGTGCTGAATTTCTGCAATTAATCTTTCTCCTGCTACACATATAGTAAAATTATAAACGACTCGGATATATATATATATATTATATATATATATATGCTTATATATATATGGATTAGTGGAATCCACTGCTCTTGCAGCTGTTGACATCACACAAGCGGGTAACAAAACGCTACTGCGTACGCACGTATACTCACGTACGCGTATTATGTGTGCGATACAGTACGCCAATCAATGAATATGTATGATAGCCTGATCATTTATACTTATGCGGACGAGCAGACCGGTTGTTATTTTTGTTCTGTTGCTTGCGTTTACTACCGCGTCCATGTCCGTTTTCTGATTCATAGAAGGTTCATCCCGCAAGAGTTCTGTTCTTTAAATAGCCTCGAAAATATGTTTTAATTAAGGATATATACTGATTAATGTGAATATTCAGAACTAATCTGCCTAATTGAGTAGGAGTTTGCTTTGTATTCCTCGAATATCATTCGGACGAGACAGATACGAGAGCGTAGGTAGAACGAGGAAATGAATTGGTTTATAAAACACCTAGAGGCTATTGATATGTTGAATCGTTGACTAGTTTGTTTTCTTGCGTTTATTTTTGAAAGCAAATTTCACAGAATATATCTCAAAGACTACACTAAGTTTAAAGAATAAGCATGCCAGATGTGAATCCTGTGGACGACGAGAGTTACACACATTCAATGATCACAATTTTCAAAATGTTAATCATCACATTGTATTAAGAAATGAGTTAAGAATGAACTAGGGACTTGTACACCTTGGGTGCAATGTCAGTAGGGTTAACTAATGGTTTAAAGGCGTCTATGAAGCCCGACATGAAAGAGGCTGCGTGGCTAAAATTAATCGAAATCAAGTTTAGTACGCGCGCCTTAGAATATATATGAAAAAAGTTAGCCAAACAATAGCGTTGTTGAATAAATATAGAAAGGGTGACCGTGGGACGGGTACCGAGATCGTCTACAATGTTCTTACATCCAGCTGATTTTCGAGACTTCAGCTCAAAGTTCACGATGTACATCAGTAAGAGTAATACAGTTCGACCGACCGAAAATGGGTAGAAAGAAATGAAAAGGTTACAATCGAAGGGACTTGGAGCTGAGGATTCAAGTCATCCTCTCACATTATGAGACAAAAAATAACTGCGTAAATAGATTACATTGGGCTACGCATGCCCTCAGGCTTATGACATCATCACGTTGGTACTCGAAAATCTGAAATGGCAAAAAGGAATTAGACTTGCAATTAAAAACAAATCTCACTTTACATATTTGAACATTTGAATGGAACCGTTGATATGTCTGAGAAACGGAAATCTGGAACAATTGTAATGTTAAAATAAGGATGGAGAGTAAGAGAGAGAGAACCTTCTTTCAAGCAATATTTCCTTTACAACATGAAACATTTACAAAACACTAGAATTACGAACTTCTTCCATCTTTCTAACAGATCTATTACCCCTGAAAGCAATTAAATAAAACAAAAAAAAGGAGAATCGACACAAAGAGAATTGTCGTTTGTGTAACCAAGTCGCCACAAAAAGACCGAAAAAGGAAACAAGTAATTTCATCAATCTTATAATCTGATACCAAACAACGATGGTTAGCATGAAGAACAGCTTAAGCTTCTCAGAAGCTTGTATTAGAATCTCGGTTTAGGAAAAGATGAAAAGCAGAAGAGGAGTCGCTGCCAGGACGACGGAACGTGCAATGAATTCAATGCAGGTCTCCTGGCCTCCGAGAAAATTATATGAAACTTCACAAAAAATGCGAAAAAACGGAAAGAAAGAAGCAGCCAAAAAACTGAACGACAAGTGCGAGAGACTCGACAAAATCACTCAAAAAACAGAGAACTTCAGAGCGCTGTCTTCGGCCAGTCGTTTTTTTTCCAAGCCAGCGAGGCCGTGCTAGGCAAAAAAACTGCTGCAGTGCCACGCTGTGTGACCCATCATCAGAATGAAAAAGGTAGAAAAAACTGCGAGTTGGTTATTGTGCTGAACAGCAAGATAAGATATGCATTGAAATAATCAGATGAAACGTTTTTTCTCCATAATCTTATTATTATCAAGTACCAAAAAAGAACATTAATTAACGAAAACAGTGTTTGCCAAAAACAGAAACCGTATTTTCCTATTGCTTTGTAGCTTTGGTTTAGTGTATATATGCTTAGTCTGCTAGCTGGGGGGAGAGACAGCCGTTTTTTCTATCGCTGACGCAGAAAAAAAAACGAGCCTGGGGGTCGCACAAACTAGAGAACATCTAACCGATGAGGGATTTAGACGGACAGAACAAAATATAAAAAACGCTTAAGCACACAACACCAGCCGTCGATGATGTGAAAAGAAAAAGCCTTCCTCCTCTCTCCTTTCCTCAACATCAAGAGATGATTGTGGAACAGCAAAAACTGAGGAAATAGTGGAGTGAATGAGGAAGCACAGAGCAAGAGTGCTTTGTAGACTCCGCCTATTTTGAAAAAAAATGTCTGCTTCATAGAAGCAGACGGAGGGAAGAGAAGCAGACAACACACAGAATAGAGTGAGTAACAGTTAGAAGTTGGAAAAATAGAAGGAAAGACTCGAGAGGACCAAACGGAATTGCTTGAAATGCAGCCCTCCCTGTTCTATTTATAGCTGTTATGGAATAATGACCGCCGAACCGAAATTAATGAAAAACAAACTTATCTGAATCGATGAAGTATTTCACCCAGCATCTTTTGCTGATCACACTTTTCTCAAAGATGTTTTTCATGGAACGCGAAATCTTCAAAGCAGTTGGATTGCTCCAAAACAAGCGAATTTATTGATGTTTCCTCTTTAGTAACTTATTTCGCGTCAATCAAGTTAATGGTGAAATTTGGTTTGATTTCCGAACAGATACTTCATAAAGATAATGAATTGTATTCTACATGAGTATTGAATAATTCATCCGCAATGTGCCAACTCGTGGGGGATCCCCGTGACGGAGGTGTTCATTTTCAGATTTGACGAGCTCACAACCGGTTGCACGTACGTTCATTTCTCTGAATGGGATGCGATTTGAATAGGATTCATATAATTAATTCAACAGATTAGGTTTGTGAACAGAATTTTCTGATCCAGGAAGTTGGAAGGAAGACGAGGAAACCTATTCAGCCACCAATACCAATGTCATCGTCGCGGGCAAAAAAAAACTCTCAAGGCTGTGACATTCAGAAAGAGCAATCGAACTTTTTAGAGCTTAAAAAACTAGGGAGGATATAAGGAAGGGAATCCAAGGTCATACGATATCCTTTGATCGATAAGGTAACATCTTATTCAATCGTATTATAAGGTTAGCCATTGTACGGTTCTCTGATTCAGTTGTATTTTCGAAAACAAATTGTTTGAAACGAAAAAGCGGGTCTCTTTCAAGTCGTTCATCCGAACAGCCTAGAGGGAGAGAGCAACGTTCACATTTTCGCCATAAAAGCTTAGACACGGATAACTATCGAATTTTACGAGACCACCCATGATGTTTCTGCGTTGGAAGTCCTCGGCCACATCTCTATGTCTGTGCTTGTCTCTATCTCTCTCTCAGCTCATAACAAATATGATGTGAAGCAGGATCAGCTGAAATGAAATAAATTCTGAAAAAAAGAATAGAAAATTATTAGAAGTTTCAGAGATTTTTGATCCTTCGACATGTTCTTGCGATTTCTCTTCCGTGTTGAACATTTCCCTCTCATTGTTATAAGCTTATTTCCTTTGAGAATGTTCGCCATATGCAGAATGAAGAATCATGTTTTCTTATTGAATGTGCCCTTTAAGAGTGCACATTCATGTTTGGAATAACATACTGCAATCATAGGTCACTTTGTCAGACGAAGTTTTCAAACTCGGGATGACAATTAGAATATTTAAAGGTCCCGCGCTGAACGCGTTCACGTTTGACAATTTAACGGAGCTGCGTGGATGAGTAAGTAGAGATTGATTACCTTTTTTGTGTTTATCAGAAAATGAAATGATCAAAGAATCAAATCTGCGGTTCTGTAACAGGTTCCAGAACATAAAAATGATTCTTTGACTTCTTGGCGAAACATCTTTAAAGCTCATCCTATGTGTTGTTGGTTAATGATCTTTGTTACTTGGAAGATCAACGTTATCTCCTCGCGGTCACCATAAAGTCGCTAATTTTCCAGTTTCAGTAAACCAGTTATGGGAGATGACGACAGAACTATTCCCAAATTAGAAAAGGTTGCAGAGCAAAATAAACAAAGAGCACAAGGTACTCTATAGTAACCGATATGACGGGAAGCCTTTGTAATCGTTCGATGAACTCGATTTTCAGAAGAAAGAATTGAATCAACGCAAGAAAGTGTTAAGACTGATCTTCACTTTCAAGACATTATACAAAAGGTTTTTAGGAAGATGCTCCTACAGCGCAGAGTTTGGATGGGTGGCTTGCTCTAGTAGACGGAGAGAAAGCCAGAGATGTCTGGTTTCAAGTTTCAAATTAACAACCCAACACACGTACTTTTAAACTTTGTAGAGCATGATCCCCTTTCTGATGGCTGGCTTTGGCTCCATTGGGGCTGGCTTGGTTGTCCATTATGCTCAGAATACAAAATTGGTTCGAGGTTAGCTGTGCTGGAAATGAAAAATTGAATGTTGGACATCTGAAGCTATACCTCAATTTCTCTCCATTGCTCCGCCTATACAGGGGATGAAAGGAAACCTGGATTTAACACTTACGTCACGATTAACTACCATGGTGAGGGTTCTTTGAATGTTGGTATACTCTCTCATTAAGGCACATAAAGGATCACTCAAATCCGAGAACATTGTGCACATTTTCCTGAAGAACATATCTCTAGTTCAAGTGAAGACATGATTCATGAAACTTTAAAAACTCACAGTTTGCAGGCACAATCAATCGTTCTCTCCATCTTTATGGGTTTCTTCTGTTTCCTCCTCGATCTCATCAAACGAATTCCTTACGGATGTCCAGCTCCTGTATCAGAGTTTCTGCTCTTATCAGCGGTCACGATAGCAACCATGATGTTCTCAGGATTACTAATGTCTTGCAGTATTCTTTCAGTAGAGGAATTTCCAAGAATCTTCTTTTTGCAGCTATAATCATGATGATAATGTATTCAACAAAAAAGAAAATCAACCCTGACAATATCGCAACTCCACTGTCCGCATCCTTCGGTGATCTCCTAACTATCACTACTCTGGTTTGAGCTGCTAACTGTTCTTGTACATGAATGTCAAACCAAGGTTTCACTTGGAGCCATGTTGTTCTCCCTAGGAAAATTTCAAACCTTTCATTCGTTTGCTGTTATCATCGGCTCTATCTTGTTGATGCCTTTCTTGATGTACATCGCCAGTAAGCTATTGGTCTTCCTCCTTATGACTATCTGTTGCAGCTCAAGATGAAAGTAGCTTGAGAGCAGTTAAAACTCAATGGCCAACACTTGTTCTCGCTTGCATATTTTCGAGGTTCTACTTGACTTGACGCTTGCACTAACCAATAAACCATTCATATTTGCAGTGGAGCAGGTTTTGTGCAAGAGTATTCCTTTCGAAGATTTCCCGAGTTCACAGTTTACTTTCCTCTCATAGCCGGTGAGCAACATATTATGTGTATCTATCGTAGTTTCCAGGGATATGTGGAAATCGAGCAGCTCTACATGCTTCACGAATCTCATCATTCTTGATGGTTAAATCTTACAATCCCATCAAATTCCGTGTTCGTCTCAACCCTATCAAGTATTATCTTCACAAAGGTTTGTCACAGTAACAGCAAAATTTCTCTCATGTGGAACCAGATAATGAATCGCAAGCTGCTCGTCTCCTGCTATTCACATGTATTCCTTTCCAAGTAATTTCAATTCAATTCGCGAACCTAGTGGAACCCGTCTATCATTCAGCTTGTCTTCTTGTTAACATCACATGGCTTGGCCGAAGTAGTGGGCACCCCCCTAACCTTGAAATGGCCTTTTTTGATTGGATATATTCTGATCGTTTTCATACAGGCAATGATGAATGTTGGCAGAGATGTTTACTTTACCTTATATAGGTTGGCGTTTTGCTGTACATTTGTCAATTGGTTGTCACATTCCTGTGGTCTTCTGGAATTGATCCCGACTTGCATTCCATACCGATAGTAACTTCAATCGGAGATCTGTTGGCGACCTTTCTTCTTGCTAGTCTCTACTGGTTCTTTGCTCATACAACAATCGAGTAAGAATTTATTACAGTAAGCCCTTGAAATACAAAAAAAACTTTCCAGTGTTGTCCATGTGGAGCAATCATTTGGGAAAGCGAATGTAACGTGTGAAGGAGGTTATTATGAAAACTAAACCCGCAGTATTAAAATATTACTTTGTACAATATAAATAAATATATGAAAGTTCTTTGGAGTTAATAAACTGGCTTATATTTCTTCAATTCCACCATGATGTGATGGATGTTGACCATGCCATTCTTTGCTTGATTGTCGCGAAACACTTCATGAGACACTATCTTCGTGAAGCGTTGTACATATTGGACTAATTGAGTGAAAGCACTCTGGAAGTAGAATTCTGAATTCCGGCAGGGAGGTATCACCTCACCTGTAAGATGTTAGTTCCGTGTTTGAAATCTGTGAACGACTTCACGATCTCCCCATTTATTTCGTCGATAGACTTCTTCCAATTGGTGGAAAAAGACTGAACCACTACGGCCAGCTTATCTGAAGGTTTTGGTTGGTTCGATGGAGTTTCTATTTTACGTCACATGTTTCGATCATAACACTCATATAAGGAAAAGATATTTATTATAGTTGAAAGATACATATGGCTATTTGATTCAGTTTGGAAAGCGAGACCTTGAGATGTTTGTTTTGAGAAAGACCGATAAGAAGTCGAATGGTTCTTAACGTCCACGTCCTGGGCATCCGATACCGTTGCAGAGAAGGTAAATGCCAGCTACTTCATTACCAGCATAGACATTGCCAAGAGAATTTCCTGATTGGCCACCGAAGTAGTATGGCAATCCATTGAATTGGGCAAGTGCAGCCACAACGTAGGCAAGGAGCAGTAAAATGCGAATAGAGAGAGAAGACATTGTTAGTTAACAGAAGGTGTGGAAGATCAGTCTCTTTCTCCTTATATATTATTTTTACCCGCCTATTCCAAATTGAGACAAATCAAGTTCCATTGACATGACCAGATAAGGCAAAAAGAGAAAGGAAGAGAAACTGTGGTCTAAACAAACTATCCAAAGGCTGCTTATACGTCAGTGCACTTTGACGCTTTCACGTATTATGATCGAACATGTGACATCATCCATATTAAACAAACAAACTAACCTTGATAGTCTCTTCCTAATAAGTGAGTATGGCCGTTTTGGATCAAAGGCTCACACGCTTTAACAAACGAAATCAGTTGTTTAAAGTGGGGTGAAAGGGTAGCCTAAACAATCGAGACATGAGAATTTCCGTTTCCTGTCAACTTTCTAACCTCTACGAACTCTCCGATTGCTTTTTGTTCCAATTCGTGAATGATTGAATGAATTCGACTGTCTTGCACAACTTTTTCCTAAAACTCTTCCATTAAGAAACGAGAAACTTAGCTTCCTCACATCAATTATATTTATGATCATGTGGTAGTTGTTTATTAAAAAAACAAGCTGATCACGTTGATTTGAAAGTGTTGCAGCCATCCGATTCAGGAGTTGTTCCACGGCGTCTTCACATGTCTCGAGTGCTTTCAATAGTCTCGAATCAATCTAATGAAAATATTGTTTTTCTCATGACTGATAAAAGAACAGACTTCTTTCCCATTGGTCTCCGTGATGACGAGGAAGGCGCACGTCAATTCAGCATAACGTCGGATGATCTAAGAACGCTGTTCTTTCAACTGAACCGACTAAATCACTTACGTAGTGGGGCCTAGTATCAATTGGACTGGACATCTTCTTAACATCTAGTGTTTTTACGCTCGTGTTATGCATGTTCATAACTTGTTCGAACCTAATCCACAGTTGTAAACGAATTGTGTCCCAATAACTGCAGAATTCAATGACTCAACGGAACAGGTATAACTTGTAACTAACCCTATCATTGAAGGAACTCCTCGGTCACCAAGAAGAGATTGAAATTTATCACACAAGCAGATACAAAGGTATAAAGAGATTGCATCGAAGTTGAAAGCTATCCGTTCATCCAGAGATCGGATTAGGAGTGTAACAGCTCGACTCATGATCTCAAATGTTTTTTTATTTATTTTGCAATGAATTAGTGTTGTCAGTACCTTAGCGTGTAACTCAACGGTATCCTGCTTCTGCATACCGAAAAAGTCAGCCACAAACATAAACTCGTGACTACAATGATCAACGAAAGCCAGATGAATAGATCGGAATAGAGATTCAAATTGATACTTCAAATAATATATTCAATAAAAGTCGAAGAAAACACTCTACTAACCTTGACTTGTTGCTCTTGAGAAACATGGGGCACAATAAGCTTAGCATCGAACTCATCCGTTAGCATCAAATGCCTCGATCCGAGTGAAAAAACGGTTGCTCGGTTTCTCACCTAACACAAAATTAAGATAATTTCGAAACAGAGGTTATAGGTTTCTTACCTGTGGCTTTGAAGAGAACAAACCTCCTAGTGTGCTCATTTTCACAACATCTTCAGCACCCAGCAGATCATCTTTCGTAGCAGAATCAACCATCTGAAGAGGGAGGGTATGAGCTCTACTTGCGCTAGTGAAACATACCAATAACTTGAACAATCGAGATATATAAGCCTTGAAATAAGAGAAAAACACTTTTCCTATCGTGTCGATGTACTCTTCTTGGATCTAAAGGAACGAAGGAAGTGAAAAGAAACGATAGTGAGCAGACCTCCGCCGCTATGTTATTCTCGTTCACCAGCAGAAACTCGTAGAAAAATCTATATTTAAGAAGCTGGTGTTGCGGAACCTGAAGAGATCAGGAGATTCAGATAGAAGAACTTTCTAAAAAACCTGGTAATTTGACAAAGCTCTTCGAAATAAATAAATTTTCTGTAAAATCCACTCTCGGATTTTCTCGATAGCCTGAATAAGTATTAGATTTTCGTGTTTATTGAGTTGTAATCACCTTATACTTCAAGCTTTCTAATATTCCAGCCACATCATTTACAGCTCTAGCTTCTTGATATTCTTGTGATCTTATGAACTGAAGCTTATGCTGAAGCTCATGAAGTTGTTCAAGATATGTTATATCACTCGGATCACATTCCATGATAGTTCTATAGTTAGATATGTTTATGTTTCATATGAAGGAGCTTTACTTGATCATTCCTTGAGGAACTACAATATCATCTACAAACTGGCTCAGTTCAGCTCTCACTTTCTGCCGATTATCCAGCTCCTCAAGTTGCAACAATTTAGATGACTAAATGCAAATGCACTTACTTGATGTATGGAAACTGATTGATCTTGTAATCTCTTCATGTCATCACTAATCGCACCCAGATCATTTTGGAAACTAATGAGCATTTTTTCTAATCGCTGTAGAGTGATATGTTATTGCTTTCATGAAAAAAGCTGATAAACCTCAAAAACTGAGTCGCAGGAGACAATCTGGTTATGGAGTTCAGTTAACTGATCAGCATTAGCTATACAATCTTTGACAGCTTCTTTATGCGCTTCTGTTAGTTCATCCTTTACTTGGACTTAAAAATAAATTTTCAAACATTTGACAGTATCAGTTATACCGGAAAAATCTCTCAAGTCATGTCCAGCTGCAAGAGCATCTCTAACAACACGATCATCAGCTTTCGCAAACTCTAACAAACAATCCTCTAGCGAACGCTCAATTTCTTTCTGTGGCATTCGATTCTCTTAAAGTTTTGGATATAATATTAAGTTATAACTCTTGAAGCACAATAAGGAGAAAATTTACATTTAGGCGTCATCAGGCAAATGTGTACGTATTCGAGAGGTTACGGTAATCAAGACGCGTCAAAAGCCGCCAAGCTATATTTTTCAAATATTTTGTATAAATTTAGAGCGTTTGATGAAGCTGTGCTTGTTTTTTCATCATATTTAGCTAATTTTTCGAGTTTCAGTATTGAATGGCCCTTGTCCAACACAATGGGCAAACAAGGCGATCGACTATTAACGAAAATACTAAAGAAACTGCCAATGCTACAGATTTGAAGCTCTGGGTCTTCCGAGTAAGTTCATACTGTATAACTGTTTTTCATATTTTCATTAGTTGACGAATGATTCCTTTGGAGTTTGTGTAGAAGGATATAGAAAAGCTGATGAAGCTGCTCTCAGACTTGAGAACTGGAGATCAACAGAGATTGCGGTTAGCTACTATTTCTTACGTTTAATGTGTTTATTTTGAAGAAGAGAGAATCAAGTGATACAGTCATTACTGGATCGGGATCTAAATATAGACTCATTGGATGCATTGACGAAGCTGCAGCTCTTCAGCTCGGTATGATATTATCAAGTTTTTACCGTAAGATATACTGTAACTCTAGGCTACCCCAAGACTTTGATAAATCGCTTTAAGAACGGTTTCCCATCTGATTGGAAGAACATTTTGAAGGATTATTATGAAAAACTGTTAGTTTACTCTTGATACTTCATTTACTTATCTTGACATATAGTAAGAAGAAGCAGTCACTCAATGTGTCAACCGTTAACAAACAATTGGGCGTTTCAGGGATCGAATCCTTCTTTACAGTAAGATGAATCTGATGAAACAATCTTTTAACTTTCTCAATTTTCAGAAAACTCAGTCTGCACCAAATAAAGAGAATGCCAAAACAAAAGTTGTTTCTCCTAAAGTAGGAAAAGGTTTTCGAAATTTTTTCATAACGCTTTTCATTCAGGTTGTTAGAACTCCTGAAGTTTCGATGATAGAAGAGAAAGATGAGGATACAGGAACGCCTTTCCGAATGCCTTGTGCCAGTAGAATAATTCAAGAAGACAAGCAAGTGAGACGAAGCCCTAGAATTGCAAAAGCAACTCTGGAATTCTGCGAGACTCCAGAGACTAAGAAAAATGTTTCTGCGGTAATGGTCATACTGATTACTTCTAAATTCGAGCTTAAATTTCAGACCCCCACTAGTTCCACAAGTACAAGAAGCACCCGACGACTCAGTCTTCCTGGAGGAACTCCACAATCGAAAACAAAATCTTCACCAAAAACGAGAGGGCGGAAATCTTTAGACGCATGTTCTCCAAGTGTGGAGAGTTTGAGCAAAAACGGAGGTAGCGTTGAGGAGCTAAGTAGCAGGACGAGAACGAAAGTTTTATCACCACTCGTGGCTAAGTCTGGAAGCATCGAAATACTGGCGGTTAAAGAAGCGCCATTAGCTTCGCCAAGTCTGAGAACACCTCGAAAAAGTGGAAAAAGCGTGGAGAATCTTGTAAAGAAGGAGACTGAGACAGTAGCACCACCTCCGGTTATTGCTGAAGTTCCTGAAACACCGACTAAGACGCCTGCAAGAAAAAAAGGCAGACCAACTAAAAAAGTTGAACAGGTAAATAAAGTTCGCTTGAATCACACATTGTAATCAATTCATAGAGTTTGGCAGTTGTCCCTTTCACGTCACAACCGCCACCAGCGCTCTCAGACGAAGATAGGTATGTGATTTTGCATATCCGTAATTCATATTTTTTCTTTCAGGGAACCTGTATTCAAAATGCCTCAGGCTGATATATATAGAGCGCCAGCTCCATCGTCCCAAATAAGTAAGCCTCCAAAGTTTTTTTCTTTTATCAATTTTTTGTGGTAGCTCGGTTGAGAGAGTCGTCAATATTTTTGTCGGAGTGGTGTTTCACGTTTGTTCCTCAAAACGATCAGGTTCCGATTAAAGATTATCCTCCATTCGTATTATTCGGTAAGAATATGTAAGTTGAAAATTGTTTTTGAATTTCTTGGAATACGAGATCTCAGATCATCTGAATTCAATGGAGAGTGGTGCACTTCGATTATAGTCAAAGTTTTGGACAAAACGCTGTTCCAAACATATAATGGAAAGTTGTATTCAGTTTCGGGATCCATACATGAAAAAGCGGCAGCTCGGTTTGGTTGGTTCAAGCCTTTGATATGGAAATCATCATTATCGTTTTCAGGATACCCCAAGGAATACGTCGATAAGTTCAGTCAAGGATTCCCAGTTTCCTGGAGGAATGATCTGAGATCCATATATGAGTGAGTGCTTGGGTCATGAACATAACATTGCGTATCTTTCAAGCTTCGTGAATTCCCGATGTGTCCGATATGATAATTTCGACATTGACGCTTCCATGGCCTTTAATCCTAAAGGTCATTTCAATGAAACAAGAGCTAATCAGACAGTTCGGAATAATAGAAATAGTTAGTTAACGTTCTGTCACTGGTACATACCCAGCTTTTCAGATGTGAGGCAATCAATGGTACCACCTAAGCCAGCTAATGAAGCACGTTAGTTTGAACTAGAGTACTGTTAGAAATACTGAAATTACAGAAAAAGTTCGTAGAACTTCTAGTGGACGAGTTGTTCACGAGCCATTAGCTTATTGGGCCGGTCAGAGGGTTAAATTCAACAACGAGGGACAAGCAGTAGGCGTGGAGGGTGTTTCTACTAAAACTGTGCACACCGGACAAACACAAGAGCTGGTAAACTCGATTGTTTGTGTCTTCATGACATAAACTTTGTTGTAGAGAGATGTGGCAGGCGCATATGGATTCAAAGCTCCGAAAGTTAAGAACGTCGAACGTGATGCGTACCGACAACCTCATCTAGCTGTAGAGGGAAGTGGACGAAAACGAAAACGACACACACTGGTAAAATGCATCACCAAGGATTTCTATATTTCTGTCTCGGTATAGGTGACGTACAGTGATTCTTCTAACAGTGATGATCATAATGATCCGTACATCAACACACTGAAAGAAATTTCATACGAGGATAGCCCTTTGATACGCAAAAGAGGAAAACCTAAAAGACGTTGTGTAAGACATGACAATTATGTCTTGAACTCATTCATTTGTTCTAGGTTGATTCGGGCGATTCTGATGACGATCTGCTAGAGCTTGAGCTACTGCGGAAAGATGTGATAAAAAGAGAAAAGAGGCGTTTGGCAAAGCGACAGAAAATTCTAGAAGATATGGAGAGAAGGGCGATGGAGGCAACAAGAAGGAATAGGCTGAAGAAAGACAAGGTAGGGTTTCCGAATCAGTTATGCATTCGGATTGCGCTATAGGAGAAAAAAGCCAGACAGTTGGATGACCACTTTTTGGAAACTCAGGAAAGAGAAAGGATGAGAAGGATGCACGATGACGTGTATGAAAGTACAGAGACTGAAGTATCAGATGGTGGTGAATGGGTTAGGTCTCCCGCTTTGAAGGGTAAGGATTTGAACGTTATTAATTTATAAAATTCGTCATTCAGCTAAACGTAAGCAGAAGTTACCCAAACGAAGATCTAAGGAGCAATTGGAAAGCGACAGTAGTAGTTCTGAAGATTATGAAGATGAGAGAGAGTCTAGAGTGCCAAAGAAGATGACATGGAAAAAAGAAGATATCGAGAGACTAAAAGTAGGAGTTAACTTCTTATTCTGGACTCATGATCTTATAGCTTGCGCTTGCTGCTATCAAAATCAAAAGGGAAAGTGACTGGGAGAAAATTGCAAGATCATTAGGTGGCACATGGAATCCGATGGAATGCAAAGAGGTAATCGAAACCTGTTGAAGTTCATAACTGTTAGACTTTCAGACTGCTGAGAAAAAACTAAAATGGAGCCAAGATCAACAAACGGAAGAAGTCGATCTTGGGTATATTGAAGTGACAGCTAAACAAGGAACATTAGCTTATGAAATGCAAGCTGAAACTCGGGGAAGGTAGGAAATACAATTATATCCTAGCTTAACTGCTCAATCCTTCTAGACAGTATATGATGGGTGCAGGATCTCAAGAAGACGATTTCTTCAGGAATAATGACACGGCGTTAAACGCTACCTTCGAGGTTTGATCCCTGAGAACCGAACTACTTCATTTCCCTCAATTTAGGCTCCTATCCCTGATGTAGCCGCTTTTGATCCTAACGATTCTTTGCTGTCAGCTATAAAAACTCCCGTTATAGTCAATCCAACGAAGAAAGTTGTAAGTTTTTAAAGTGCAAACGATTGTCATATGCTTTGTAAACAGGGACGTAATCGGTTGGCTTTTGTTCCTGAGGGATTGAACGACGATGACATAGTGTCTTCGAACAGAAGGTCTGCTCGTCTCTCCATAGTGCCCGATGAAGCCAGGTTGGGAGTTGGGTTTTGCAGTTTCTCAACATAGTATTCAGAGATGACCAGCAGCGATATATGCATCATCTGAACAGGCAGAAAAACCAGTCTCATAATCAGAGCAAATTGCAAACGTCTATGTTCAATACAACAACAGCTGTGAGAACCTCCAAATAATTTCATAATCGTTTTCATTTCATTTCAGGGTGCAAGAAAGAAAGCTGCTCAAGATGTAACTAGAAAAATCGAAGCTATAGAAAAAGGCGCGAGAGGAAGGAGGAGAAAACAACAATCAGACATATCTGAAGAGGAAGATGATTACTAAAATCTGGGAGTTCTCTCTTCATACTAATAATCACACATATGTAAAAAGTAACTAATCTCTTACTACTACTACTACCCTTGACAATGTGACCGCTCATCTTATACTCAACTTGTAAATAGCATCAAATCGACTCATTCGTACATTTCCAATTAACATCATTAGCATGATTGATCAGCAAACTTTGTAGGTTCGCGGTACTTTGGACTTCAAAAGCTCAATCTTTCTCCTCATTCTGATGGCGCTGTAGACCTATTCACATTTTATAGTGCGTATCGCTGCTTTCAACAGATATTCAGTACTAATGTTGAATGTGATTGGTAATGACAGTGGGGCATATTATACTTGAAATGGTTGCCATAGCGAAAAGTGAAAAGGTTCCGCCCCTTTTAACACTAGTCAACTGAATATGGGCAGGCATTACCGATTTTCGAGCGTTGTCAGGATCTTTGTAAACAAATTTTGAAGCCTTCTATACCGAAAGTCCTCCGTTTTTCTTTCTTCGTTATCTTCGTAATAATAGAATCGTCGTTTTTACTATTCACTTCCTCTATATTTGTATATCACAAGTTGTATTTGAATAATAATCACTGCCTAACTGTGCCATTTAAGGCAGCTAATAAATTTCTTTACAAGATCCTATCGAACTGTCTTCTTAATCACAGGTCATGAACGATCTGGCCGCGGTATGCAAGCTTCGAGCAAGCAAAGCCTAATGTCTAATTAACATTTATAGGTTGAGGCGTTGAAAGCTTCACGGGATGATCTCAATTTGATGTTTCAAACATGGCCTGATAACTTCGCCAGGTTTCAAACTTTCGTCATTTTTATTTTATATCCTGTTCTTTAGTCTTTTTGATATGGGCCTGAGAGCATTTGAACGTTTATTTAGTTATCGGCCTCATCTGAAAACATACTTTTCATTGCCGGAGGATGATGAAGGCTGGCGCAAAGACGAGAGGATAAAGCGCATCGTGTTATCTTTGGAACAGGTAGGGTTCATATATCGTTCTTAGTGATATACCCCAGTGATATGATTATGAGCCTGACTGATATTAGAATAATACAACCTTAAGCGTCATACGCTGGGTGGAAATGAGCTGATTTCATTGCGAAATGTAATCATCTTTTCAATTTCCTTATCCTCACTTCCTATTTTTCTGCCTAAATTCATTTAGTATTGAACTGGAGTTTGTGGTTATCAGGGACCACATATATTAAATAATTAATGAGAAACACACAAACCATATATGTGCACATATATCGACCGTTGTCCACAAATCAGACAGCTGTTAACCTATGTCCAATATACTGACCCAATTGGAATGCTTAGAAGCAATCGAAGAATGAAGTTCTCATACTTTCGCAAATTTGATTTATGAAGTTTCTGTTCTATTTCAATTTCGTAAAACGAAATTAGACCTCTTCAATGGTTTGCACTGCAAACCACGTGAGCCGACGTGGGAAATAGATACCAGCTTCATTCTAACAAGAGAACGCTGTGGGAACGGTTGTGCATAATAATTCCCAATTCATTCTTCTCACAATAACTTAGCTTATTGTTTTCAGACTTTGGCGGACGCGGTAGCTACCTATGCTGATCCTAACCCCGACCCAGCTGATACTCAAGCAGCATTCCTAGAAACATTACAAGAAATAGGAGGACTACACAGAGCTATTGTACCTAACATTAGTCCCGATAATTTCGAGCTGTTATTCAAATTATTACCAGAGGTGAGGCGCTGCTCAAGCTTCTGATGATACAACATTCACACGCACAGGTTATTGCGGACGTTATATCATCCAGAAGGAAAGAGGGACCATTGTCACAATGCGATCGGCAACGGCTATTAGGAATATGGGCTTCAATTACTCTACTTATGTCTAGACACTTTGTTCTCGGTTGGGAACGTAGAATAGTACCGAAAACTCCGAAGTTTTCAAAAGCTTACAGGTCAGAACAAGTAGGTTAACGTTATTCTTGTTCGTGATGACTTGTGGCAATTGAACTCGGATATTACAGTCGGAAAAAGGACAGCGTTGGAAGTTTGAATGGTGGGCAGCTCGTCGCAAATCTTCTACAGCCAGCTACAACAACAGCGGGAGCCACGAGCAACATGTCAACACCAGCTTCAGTAGTGGTACGTTGAGAAAATCTGACTTTAGTAGCAATTTCATTTACCTCAGGTGGAAGTAGAGGAACGCAGAGTAGCACCTCTTCAACGAGTGATAGCTCCTATTACAGCTGTTCGCAAAATGAAGTAAGATCTACCAGTCAAGATTATACAGAGCCATTGGCTATACATGAGGTTGAATGTGAGATTGACGACTATGTATGAATATTGGGGGGCACCTACCTATTATATTTTGCTCACTATGACAGTTTTTTGCATAAATATCGGCAATATGAGATACTCATGAGATATTTGAACGTGTGCATAAACGTTTCCACTTAGAGTAACGCGATTTGATAGTTAAACGTTTATTTTAAACAAGATATTCCTGTTTAATAAATTTATATGTATATACGATCTGTATCTAGCCAGTGCCTATACTTCTTCGAAACTATTATCACAGTCTTATCTAAGCATGAAGTCCTCCGGTGACTTCGATCGTTGTGCCAGTAACATACGTTGAGAGATCCGAGGCTAAGAATAGAGCTGCATCAGCTATTTCACTAGCATCGCCCATACGTCCCATGGGTATTCCTGCACATATATCAGCCAACACCTGTGAGCACTATTTTAAGAAAGGAAAATATGGAAAACACAACTTGTGGTGGCATAGCTTGTGTCATAGGTGTAGTAATGAATCCTGGAAGGACTGAATTGACTCTCACGCCCTTCTTTGCCAACTCTTTCGCCGCACTTTTACTGAAAGCAATAACTCCTGCTTTGGTAGCTGCATAGTTCGCTTGTCCGAAGTTACCAACCTGGGAAGAGAATTAAAACTTATAAATGAGATATTCATACCTTTCCAATGATGGAAGAGACATTAACAATGGACAAGGGTGTCTTGTTTTCAACAGAAGCTCTAGCGAACGCTTGATTAATCTAAGAAACAGTTGAAATTGATAACTGATCATGGTGTTACCAAGAAAGTTCCTTTCAAGTTAACAGCAACTACATTGTCAAACTTCTCTTCAGTCATTTTCAAGAGGGTTGAATCCTATGAAATGCATTATGACCACAGTACGATAGCTATAACTAGTACCTGAGTGATTCCAGCACAATTAACAACAACAGCAGGTGATTGATTATAATTTTTTAAGACAAATTCTTTCAAAGCATTAACTTGAGCGGCCTGACAGGAGGAGAATCACTAGGTATAAAGTATAATTACATACCTGGCTTACGTCACAAGCGAAACTGGTATGCCCCTTCGATCCTGGAATATATAATTATTATCAAAAATAATCATATAATCTCACCCAAGCTGTTGGCGACGTCATTGGATGAAGCTAACTGTAGATCTACGACAACAACCTTAGCTCCCTGATCAGCAAACTTTTGACAAATTGCTCTTCCTATGCCGGACGCTCCCCCTAGGAACAAATGATAAAAATCTGCAATACGAACGTACACTAACCGGTGATAACAGAGATTTTCCCAGCTAATAATGACGTCATACCAAGTGCTGTATTTAAAAATATATATCATATCATAGCTAAACACAAGGTGTGGCACACGAAAGCACATTGTAAAAATAAAATCTACCAAATCAGGTTGAGAAGTGTATAGGTAATTAAAGAGCATTGTTATGCGTGCTGCGATATGCTTATTGAAGCGTGTTCTCTTCTACGTTACCTTCACGTAAACATTAAGCAAACGGCGTCATTTGGACTAACGCTACCTTACACGATGGTTGCATTCTGATATGTTTTTTTTTGTCAGAACAAATACGGAAATAGAAATCAAAACAAAATTATTGTTTTCCAAAAACAAACACGATGCAGTCAACGAAAGTTAGTTTTAGAAATACGACACAGGTATTGCGGAAGCGTTTTTTCACGTATAGCACGCGCGACAAAGAAACATTGCGAGAAAACTTCGGTGTAAAAATCGATCGGAATGTAAGAACTGATAAAGAAGCAAGAAGCAATATAATGAAAGCTGAGATGTTATTTCCATTCCGATGAACGAAAATTTGATAGCAGGCTACCGAGAAGTAAAAGTGTTAAGATGAATCATCATCGAAACTATTCACATGGTTAGTGATGGTATCACTAGAGGCAGGCTGATAATAAATTATCACATCGGTTTCAGTAGCTCCTTACCATTGATAGCATCCTCTCAACCAATGGTGTTTCTACGACGACTAATTACAGCTCTTCTTTTATTATGTGCCATCTATAATTGCTCTGCTATTCACTGCTTCAAGTTCGAACAAAGACAACAAGGAGGCGAGGTCTATAAATCAGCTAAAGTATGTTTGATTTCTTATTCTGCACATAACTGGGAATCAGGTTCAAGTAGACTGTGGTGACGATGTAAAATACTGCTGGTCATTGAGTCGAGATGATCTGGAATTAAACATTTATTCGGAAGATTGTCCTGATATGAATTCCGAAAACGGCAAGTGTGAGGTAAGAGTCTCTCTACTGTCACCATTTGAAGTTACAATCTGCAGGAAGCGAAATGTCGAGGTGACAAAGACACCAAAATCTGCTGTTGTGATACCGATTATTGTAACTCGGCCTTTAATAATTTCGCTACTGCTGGAGCACTGATGTTCTTGCTTTGTTCTCTCGTATTATAAAATCAACAGGTTTTTTCAAAAAGATAAAAGTTTCAACGACAGTATAGTAACAGACAACAAGAACAATGTAAAGTTGTTTCACTTCAGGGAGTCTACCATAGAATCCCAACACTTCTTATCAATATCTGCATTCGAACAAGCATTCTGGAGAATAGAAGAGATGATACATCAAGCATGTCGATGACTTACCTTAGCTAATTCAGCGATTCCTCCAACAAGACATTTGAGCGTCGGACGTACTTCACGATATAACTTACGGGACAACGCACGCATCAAAATTCCACTGAAAGTAGGTGATTCATTTTGGGAAGCTTCCGAGTTCTTACAGCTGCTCTACATGTTCTTCACCAAAATCAATTGAATTCGATTCAATAGGGGTCTGTTTAGTATCTTGTTCCAGAGGCTTAGTTTTTGTAACAGATTCACAAGTGTTTTTCGACGATACAGGAGTATGTGCTCTCGAAGCATGTTTTTCGACATTTGGCACATTTTCACTTCTCTCCAGTGTGTTCTGAACCTCTTCTTCTTCTTTATCGTGCTCAATTGAGGACGAGGTCTCGGGCCTGTCATAGTTGGCGCACATTGTCTGAAACCCATCTGTTCAAACGCCTTACTACCGCCAATGATGAACCTGAAGAATCTCTACTTGCTTTTTCAGCATGTTTTCAGAATCAGAGAAGAACCATTTCAATTCAATATGAGGATGGGCAGCTACCTCCAACTCCTAAATATCAAAGATAGTTTCAGTTGATGAATTGTATATCTCACTTCAGTAGCCTTATCAACTTCATCTGCAGTAGGATGTCGTGGATCACTACTTCTGGGTTTGGCATTGAACTTCTGTGTAAGCTCAGCAGATTTCCAGCATCCTTCCGAAGTCACCCAATCAACAACAATTTTATCGTCGACCTAAATTATGCTGTACGACCAGACGACATTAACTGTAACTAACTGGATCTACTCCGAAAATGGCAGTTGTGAACAAAATGAACTCATTGCTCTCCGTAGATCTCTCAGCAATGTTCTCAGATACAGCTTTGTAGGTTGTCTGTTATCATAAGTTCAGAAGAAAAGGATTTGGAACTTACTTGACAAAGTGATTGAATACCATTGAAACGTGCTAAGAATGTATTGCAAGGAAGATACTGAGGAGAAAATATGTCAGGCAGAACGGCTAGTGCTTCAGTATCCGCAGTGACAAATCCATGGTAATCCAGACAAGCTCCTGTGATCGAATCTCCTTTCTATGAACGAACATATCACAGACGTTGTATCAAGGATGACTTACGATATCTACAAGTACAACACGGGCATATTCATTTGAATCAGCACTTCTTGCAATGCAGACAGTTCCCAAATCGGCTGACTTGAGTTTTTCGAAAACTTGTTTCGAGTAGTATACTCTGAAACAATTGATAGTTCCAATCTCTTGCTCGCAACGTATTTACTGTAAGCGATGTTGAATTTCACAGAATCGAGCACAACTGTCCTCGTTGCCACTCTCAAAACAAATCAGTACCGAACAGGGAGGGACGAAGTACATTGGAGCACACTGTGTGGTAGAAGTGTTATTCATGCTGTATATAGGAATTTACCATTGTGATATCATCAATATTCGGGTCCTGTACAAATTTGAAAGACTTGAACTTAGAGAGATGCTTTTCCGTAATGCCATTATACATATTTTGCCTAGCTTCTATAATAGAGGAGAAGTGCGCAGCATAACAAGAACTGGGTTTTACCCTCCAGTCTCCTAGCATGCATTTCGTTCGCAGATTGTCTCATCTCATTATCAATCTTAAGTTATAAAACAAATGATAGGAGCAACTTCAAACATAAACTTACAGCATTCATTCTTTCCAGAGCTTTGGACGCAGACAATGGGGTTTGAATATGCTGTAAATAAATATCACGTTCAATCAAAAACGTTTTTGGAGTATTATCTCTGCGTACAGAGTAATAAATTTAAATATTTCGAAATCTTATCCAAGCGGTGCGCCGCCGAAAAAAATAGAAAAACGAACTCCCAGCTCGTAATCAAGTTTAGGCCTAGATTAGTGTTTGTTCGGACAACTTACCATAGGTGGTTTATCGCTCTGATTACTTAGCCTACTGGATATTGGAGTATGCTCTCGTGGATAATTAGGACGTCTGTCTAAATGATCCATCGGAGCATGAGATCCAAAACTGGGAGAGGCAATTCTTCCACTGAAACTTGATCTTGAAGAGCTTGGCCCAGCTAAAACAAATTCCCGGTTTTAGAGGCAAAAGTTTAGAAAAAATAAATACCGAATCTGCTTGAAAGACCGCGTACAGGCTCATCCAGCTGTTCGATTTGCTTAAAAACAAAACCAGACTGACTTAATATCCATAATTAATAAACCTTGTACACTTCGCTATCTTCTTTTTGAATCGGCTGAATAATGTTCTGAGAAAATCCTCCCAAATCACATCTTGAAGCCTGGACGAATACAAAGTATTAGAACTTGAAAAGTATGAAACAAACCAATAAATTTGATCGATTGTTCATAGTTTGATTATCAGGACTGTTCGCACTCCTGAAATTGTTCACAGTGGTTTAGTTTGACAATTCATATTTTCCACTTTTTGGAAGATTTGGAGACAGAGCACACTTAGATCCACACCACCCTTCTTGGAATTTTAAATAAAAGGTCAAAATTAAAGAACAATATTCTAGCACTATTGATTGTCTTTTTTCGATATTGTAGTGAAGCACATAGTCGATTCATACTACATATAATTCAAAAACCAAAACTTACTTGTTGTAAACTATAGGATGTCTAGAAACTGCTTCTTCGATCGAATTGAGCTTGTAAGGCTGATTCCTAAGAGATAACACTTTTTCGCGTGAATAAGTATAATCTAACGACTTTTTCTCCTCCGAAATAACTGAAACAACACCTAGTCAGCAAATTTCGAAAATAAACGACAAACCCAGTTTATCCATCATATCCACAGTGCTGCACACAGACGTGGTTATATCCGAACGGGAATCATCAAGAGTAGTCGATGTTTTGCTAGTTGATTCGCTTTGTCGCTTGTTAAACCACAGAGCGCTTCTCAATGAATTGCTGAAACAATTTTTCACTTTGTCTTTTAAACTATCAGGCCTACATTGCCAATCGCTTCCCATCTTTACTGAGGACTCTATGAGGACCGAGAGAGACATCACGCTGTTGTCCAGAGACTTTCACTTCCAACTTAACTTCGGGTAGTTCTCGTTTGATATGAGCATTCATGATCAAAATATGCTCAAGGTTTTGATTGAGGTATGTGACTTCTAGGCGCCAATGAGGAAGGAACTCAGAAGCTCTCAGCATGTCACAGAACACTCTAAAAAGAAAACCTTCAAAGTAATCTGCATGCTTCATGTTACCCAAAGCGATCGGGCCCTGTTGGTAAATCATCTTTCATGATATCCATCAACGAAACGATAGAAATGGATAGGTACCCATCACTATTGACAAAGCCATGCCTCTTCACAGCCGCATACACCGAAGAAATCTGGAGAGAAATGTTTTCAGAAATTTAAGTACCACTTTGAAGGTAACCAGGTTGAGAGGCTGAATTCTTGAAGTTACAGGAGGGGGAGGTCTCTGCATTTGATAATAGAGAGGATTGTACTGAGCACAACTAGACGTTTCGAAACCCCTGAAATTAACCGGTCAATTATTTTGGACTCAATATGTTACCCAGTCTGAATGTAATTGGATTTGAATTTGCTACCGAACTGCGAAGTTCTTGTTCTTAAGATTGGGATGAAAATAAAACTGAAACTATCTTTTTACTTGTCTCTACGCAAAGTGTTCATTCTCCGTTCCTCTTTGGTAGTTTGGCATTGGACCATCTTTTGTAGGTCCTGGAACTCACGGCTGAACTTTGTTCTATACCTATAAACAACACCAAATATCGATAAACGGATATCTTTCATACAATCTTCTTCCTTGAACCGTCACAGCAACTACTTTATCAGTAAGAGCAGCAAGTAAATCGTCTGTAGACGAATATCCATAATTCGTAGGATCCAGAGGTACACCTATCTCTTCCCTGACAAATAAAATTATCCAAGTTTCCCAGCTTATTCAACACATACTCATATCGTCTTTGAATCTGATCAACAGAGATGGGATTGGCTTCAGCAACAAGTAAAGCAGACAATTCTACTCTGATAGTTCGCAGACGATCAACTGGTTGATCACTAATCTCACCTGACTCATTCATGGTCTAAAATAAATCGTACGTTGATCTTCTTCTCCCATCGAAAATAATTTTGACGAACGTACGATCGTAACAAGCATGAGTGAATTGAAAAGAAAAAAGTTTTTTATTGCAAAATAAAACAGGTAAATTGGTGAAATAAATTATTAGTGTATACAGTATCCATACAAGAATTTCGAAATGAATTTTACATGTTGATTAACAGCTTGCAACCCGACTCACTGAAATAATTCGTTAAGTTTCGAATTAAATTGTTCCCTACCAAATCTCTTTCAGGCATGATGTAGGAAATATCATCCCATGGATGTCTGTACAAGCCTTGTTTCAATCGGCGCTGGTCAAGATAATGTCCTAAAAAATTTTTAAACCGCTTTCGCAACACTTTCAAACCAATAAATCCAAGAGATCGCCCAAGCACGAACAATCCATTCAGGGATCCTATTTCGATTGTCTCTACAGCTTCAGCTGGAGTGAACATTCCGGAATGTTTTAAGATATCAACAAAAATGACTCCAATAGTTCCGTCGACATTGAGAATCAAATTTGGTTTCTGCAATAAAACCGGAAGTGATGACTTTTCGTCAAATTCTCAAAACCTTGGCAGTAGTAATCTTCTCCACTTCAAGAGCATAATCTAAGAGAGGAGTTTCTTGCTGGAACTCCGAACGATCCAAAGCGAACTTCTTCAAAATTTCTACTCTCTTATCTGGGTTGTTAATCTGTAACATAGAGGGGTGAAACAGCCCCCTACACGAGTGCACTCACAGATTTTACACGATGACCAATACCCATAATATGCTTTCCTTGCTTTCTCATCTCATTGACGAATTGCATAGGACTCCACCCTTTTTCGATTGCTTCGGAGAACTGTTTAGCAGCTCCATCTAAAGCACCACCGAAGCGATCACCCTAGAAGATGTGTCGTTAAGACCAGGAAAAGGAATAGAAACTCACAATAGTTAATAAACCAGACACAAGTGATGAGATCAAGTCTTTTCCGGCCCTAGCGCAGACTATAGTATTGTGGGCACCGGACACAGCTGGTCCGTGATCAGCTGTCAGCATCAAACAAATTTCGATGAACTTATTAGCGTAAGCGGGAAGTCTTTTCTACAAACAATCGGATGTATGCGCTTTTTCGAAATCTCCAACCTGGAACCACAAGAGTCCGAGTACTCCACCGATGCCAATATCCTGTTCTAAAACTTTAGTGATTGGAACACCAGCATAAATCAATTCTTCTCCTCGTTCATCACAGATTGAAGTCATGAAGGAAGCTGGCTTTCTGATCAGACCCAGTTCCTGAATTCAAACATTGAAAGCCATCTGAGAGCAATAACTCACTCTAGCCCAAGCATAATCCATGGGAACGGCTGGTGGTGGTACTTCGGGTTTAGGTTGGATGATTCCCTTCTTCACCAAAGAGTCGTAAGTATCCTTGATGAAGGTTCCGAGATCATCGAAAGATGGTGGAACAAGAGCTCCTGCATTCTTCAAGGCAGAATTTTTAGCAGCAGCAGTCTCTCCTTCAGCATTAGCGCTAGCTCCAGCATGTCCGAATTGAACCTTAAGCAAATGTAAACTTATAACTTTCTTCTTATTTCTTTATTACTTCAGAAGTGATGTGATCTGCACATGTTCCAATGCACCAGGCAACCAATGGTTTGGTTACTCTTCCCTCTTTAAGAGCTTTCACGATCTTATATTCTTCTGTTCCTCCAACTTCTCCCAGAAGAACAATCATCTTCACTCTGCAACAAACTGATCTCATTGACATTCATTACGTCATTGGCTATTAAAAAGTACGCCACGTGCAATCCATGTGACAACGGCTATCGCTCATAATATATCAGTGTCACCGAACGGTTGCTTTCCCAATTTTTATCAAACATAAAAAGGACACTGACCTGCTATCGTCTTGATATCTCAAAACATGGTCAGTGTAGGTGGATCCTGGGTAACGATCTCCACCAATAGCTATTCCTTCGAAAACACCATCAGTATTTTGTGAGATGATGTTGTTCAATTCATTGGACATTCCTCCTGATCGTGATACATAAGCGACACTGGAAATAAACAACTGTTCATATTCATGGAATTTTTCCTCAAAGTACCTTCCGGGCCTGTAGAGTTTAGAAGCGAGGATATTATCCATCATTCCTCCTGTGTTTCCGATCTTGAAACAGCCTGGCTTGATACCTCCAACAGTAGCTGGGCCAATTAAAGTTACTCCTCTCTCACGGGCAATCTAATGAGACCGGTTAAATAGAAAAAAACGATATATTTGACCTTCAAGAGCACACGGGTTTGATTCTCGGGTACTCCTTCAGCAATGACAGCGATAACTTTGATTTGAGGGAAAGTCAAGGCTTCGAGAACTGTTTCATATACAGATCTCAAAGAAGCAAAGGTAACCATTACGGATGCATCTGAGTGGGTATCGAAAGCCATCTTCATGGACTTATAAGCAGGTACGAGGATTTCCTTAATTCATCCATAAACCGACTGAGACCAAACAATCACGATACCTTGTGCCCGAAGTAGTATTTCTGCTTGTTGTCACCAGTGAAAGGATAAGTAGATGCAACAACGGAAGGTTCACTACGGCCGCATACATAGTCAAAATCGAGCATACCCTGTAAAAACAATTAATCTAGCCAATCTGGTTTTTGGATACCTGGATGGCTTTCTGTTGTTGGCCCCAAATGATAGCTTTCGTGTTATTCTCGAAAAGCGACTTGAATTGAGTATTAAGTTCAGCAATGAGAGCAGGTGGAGCAACCACTTGGGTCTTCTGGGTCTCAGTTGCAGACATTTCATCAGAGGCATTGCGAGAGGATTCGCGAGAAGTTCCAGCAGTCTTAAAAACGAATAAATTATGATTGAACGATTTTGCTTACATGTCGTTCAGGACTCAATAAGAAGTGGCCAGTAGTTTGAGGCTCCTTTGGCACGGTAGGGATAGGTCTAACTTTCATAGCAGCACCAACAATAGCAGTCATATGAGTCTCTGGTCCGAACACGTGGATAGGGAGCTCCAAAGTTTGAGCTGAAGATGATAATTACTACTGAATTGTCCGCATTATCATTTACCAGCATCTTTGATGCGACGAAGACCTTCTTGATAATTTGGACCTCCTCTTCTAACAAAGATCGTAACCTTATGTTCTTTCAACTTGTCTACGTATTCCTCGAAGGCTCTGACGATACCCTGAATAATAGAAATGACTTTCAGTTGTTAATCCCTTGTATTACTCCAAATGTTTTCGCAACGTTAGTAAAGTTTGCAATAGAACCACCAATGATCAAGACTTTTCCATCTTCTCTTGGAGCTCCTTCCGTCATAACAGATAAAATAGTCTTGGCATATTCGAAGGTTTGTGTTTCAGATGGATCCCCAGAGTATTCTCCATAATTGGCTAATTCGGATGCTCCTCCAAGATCACAAACAGTATCACTAGAAACAAAAAACAGAATAATCAAAACCTTGAGAAGGAGACTAACGTGAAAACAACGGAAGCTCCGCCTCCAGCAACCATTGTCCAAATACGTCCAGTACGGTTGAGGATGGTTAGCTTGAGTGATGCTCCTGTTTTAGCATCAAGATCGGCGATATATTGTTCCTGTATACATATTCTTAAGAACAACCACTTGAGAAAAAATTCACTTCTTTAGTCAAATCTCTTCCGAAGGGAGCTGGGAACTCAATGGGTCTTCCATCTCTTGATTTCCATTTGTCGGCACATAGGAAGTTGGCAGTTTCATCAATTTTCGCTGCCAAATCCAAAATATAAACTTTGTTTCCCAGAACAACTGTAACAAAAACAACATTAGCGAAAGTTAATATTTGAAAAGAAACCTAAAGGATTAATCTCAAGATAAGTGAAATGCAGGGATTTGTAGGCGTTATAGAGAGCCAGAACGAAGTTTTTTACGATTCTGCAAGAAAAATATAAAAATATCTTTTAAAGATTTATGTTTACTCTGTTCTCTGGCCCAAGTCACCGATTAGTTTGGCCAAGTTATCAGAGTCGGGAAGCATTTTAGCACTGTCTTCCTGTACAGGAATTCTCAGAGAACGAGCTTTTTGATCAACATCGCCAACGTCAACACCTCCCTCAAAACAATACTACATGTATACAATAAAGATCGCATGCTCTAGAGTACCTGTTCGTAGAACATTATCACATCTTCATCTCGAAGACTGTAAATAGCGATGTAAAGTTCATCTGAGTCACTATGCTCGCAGAAGGGTTCGATAATGAAACTATGCAAGCGTCCTGTGGTCTTTCCGATCTTTAATCAATCAGTGGTCAAGTTTCGCAATAATTCAGAGCCTACAGTGACATATGTGCCAGCCTTTTCGGACAGCCATTGCCTCAAAGTCGCAACATCACCCCATTTTACCAAACCATGTTTCCCTCTACGTTTAATCAACTGATCTGGCTTTACTACACCTCTCTGAAGGAATGAGGAATAAGATAAGGAAACAAGTTACATCATTAAAATGATAAAGCGTGTGAATAGAGACAAACCTTTGTAATATTCAACCAATGATTAGGATTAGTAACAACGGCATCAAAATCGTCAACGTTATTCACTCTAACAGGAATAGGAGCATCTATTAGTTGGGTGTTTTCGAGGTATCGGTAAAGAAGCTCTTTTCCCGAGATTTCACTCACTGCTTTCGCTGACATCTGAAGTAACAAAAATGTGACAATTTTTAGAAAGAAAAGCGAATTCGGAAGATATGCAAAGTGACTAAACAAGCGAAAACTGAGTGGAAGCTCCACGTAACAACAACTTTTCAAATCCAATAATATGATTTTAGATAAACGATGGTCCCGACTAGATTGCGAAGAAAGACATTTTTGCTCAAAAATTGAGTAAAGGCAGAGAAGAATGAAAATACAAATTAAAAGAAAAAGTTAGAACGTGGCAACAATTGACACATCAGAACAAATAAAAATAAAGAACGCTCGATAGTGGAAAGGCTAAACTTCATGCGTTGCCAACTCTATCTCTCTCTCTTCCACTCTCTCCTTTTTCAAATTGAAGTGAACGAGCAAAGAAATTTTGCAGTGAAAGAACACCCATGAGAATTCAAAAAAGCGAATCAATAACAGCTGTATCTCGCAAAGAAGCAACGCCACACGCTCAGTGTAGGGTAAATATCGTGAAAAGAGATGGATTCCAACAATCTTTAAAGTTTTGCACGTTGTTGCGAGGCTATCAACGGCTTCTTTATATGGTCATAGCTGATTATGGCAAGATAGTCTGCTAACATTCGACTGCATCAGCTCATATCCGAAATAGCAAAATAAAAACTACTTGATAAGAGAAAAACATGGAATTTTGCTGACCGCAATTAAGTGCCAGGCCATTAAGAACCAAGATTAGGTGCGCAAAGGAATAGAAGGTAGAAAGAGATCAATGGAGTAAAGAGGTCACGGACATTCCTTCTAACAATCAAATTATTACATGAAAACCTATACAAAGTGATAGACTGCAGGTAATTTAAAGTTTTAAATATCAACATTTGTTTTGTTTTATAAAACTTTTAAAATTAGCGCAACAGAAAAGAATTTAGCGCTCCTATGATAAGAAAACTGATATGAAAGATGTCCAGGGATTACGCGCCTCCTATCGCCATACTCCAAACTATAGTTCAGACAACATGCAGTGAGCTATTACCGCATTTGTCCGCATGCGTCTCTTCCTATTTGAATAAATTAGTTGTCAATTACCTTTCGAACAAGAGAATCATGCTACTTTTCAGAGAAGAATTACATAAACAAGTGAAAACAGACGAAAATGAAGAAATATCGCAACCGCATCTGACTTTCAAGTTAAATGACACCCGACCGGTGCGCACGGAAAATTCGAAAAAATGAAAATGGCGCGTCACCGATTTTCTCACAGATCTGGTCGGATCGATGACTTCCGCTATAGCACACGCTTCAGCATAGGTAATGATGGGGTTGTGGGGGTTGTATAAGCAGTTTTTGAAAAAAATATTTGTGTAGTAAGAATGATAATTATATGAATTTATTTTTTTTTCGTTCACGTAACTGTTATTTCTGCTGCAAGAGTAGTTGGAAAGCTCATATTTTCTGTGAAATTTTATCTTCCTGTCGACAATATTGGTGTTTTTTCGAAAAACAAGTTGGAGTAGTATTGAAAACGATAATGAAACTTGGAAATCAAGAGGAAGTTGAAATGTAATAAGTTTGAAAGAATGTTCGACAACTAATTGAAGGTGGAGTCTTTAAATGTGAAGCATGTTGTGTCTTCACTGAAAACTTGAACAAGTACTTGGACAACAGTCGAAGAAGAAGACTCTTTTATACTTGATCCTCTCCCCAACTATCTGTTTTCCTTACGTGACTTTCACCATTTCCCGTCATCCACATTGGCCTGTACTAATGAGCGTCTCTTTGTTTCCCATTTGGATTTTCATCAAACTCACGCAATACATATTACAATAATCAATGATTTTTATTATTTTTTAAAGTTTTGCAACTGTCTGACGCATTCGATCAACATATCCGATGGAACGTTTTCGCTTTTGTCTTCCTGACCATAGCGAAGATGACGGAGTATTGAGGAAAATGGCAACAGACCGAAAGCCTACAAGTACATATTCGGTGATTCTCTGTCTCTCTCTCTCATATTCTCGGTCAACGTCAATGACAAGAGAACAAGAAAGCCTTTTCTAGGCTGTCTTGCTCATTCTGCTCGACTGACCACATTGGTTATGGCTGAATAATGATCATCCGGAGTCTTCATTATCTATCTGAACTCTCAAACGCCTTTTTTTCTCGAAATGAATAGACAGAAAAAAGAGAGAAAACAATCTGATATTCATTTCATATGCATCAATGGCTTTCTCCTTCGCTTCTAGTTCAAAGTTCGATGTCACAGCTAATTAGCTGAACAAAATTTTGGTAAAACTTCTGTAGACTAACTCACCAAAGACTGAGAATATTACATTCAATTGCCAGCTTCAGTCTTCAATTGCCTTTTACGTATCTGCGGATCTACAATTTGGAGAATAAAAGCTATTTTTCCTATTTTCCACTTGAAAAATGCAATCAGATATGGCTTTTCTTGGCAATTTATCGCTTTTTTTCATTTTCTTTTTCCTTTTTTTGTGTCTACCTATGTTTGAGAAGGAAATGGTCGTTTTTCATTCTTAAAATGTATGTTCATTCTTGACCACGAACTATGCTCAAACGTTCTATGCATAAACTCTCAAAGTTGCTTTTTCCATGAAAACAAATACAATCAAGGTTTCCCTTTCATCATTTAGCCCATTTCAAAGAAGAAGAGGAAAGGAAGCTTGTTGAATATTCACTGCGTATTGTCTGTATTTCGAAACTTCCGTTTTTTGACTTCTATTTACTACGTTTTGTTTTCTGCACCATGCGCAAGTTTCAATATTTACAATCTTGCCAATCGCACCGTTTTCATAAACTTCTTTTCTTCCCTAATTCTACAAATCCTTTCGCATTCATAGCATTTGCCTTCAGCGACACATGTGTCTTCACATCTTTTTTTTCTCTCTTTTTGAATAAAGCTGTGAGAAATGGAAAAATGTATGAGCACCTAAGATTCTAAGAACTCATGTTATACTCGTTTTCTAACTTAAGCTTCTCCTTCTTTCTTCTTTTTCTACTTCATCATCGTTTCTACTACCCTAGAGATGACTCGTAGTTCGTTTCCTTGGCCGCTAACAACATTTTGTACCCGTTGTTGCCTCTTTTCCATACATATACTCTTATTTGACGAAAATGAAGAAATAAAGTCAGTTGAGTGAAGTAAAAGCTCTTTTATGTGTGTAAGACGGTAACCGGAGTCATGTTTAGTGAAATTGATAGATATGTTTCGAGTTTGATTCCTTTCCGCACTTCTTATTAATACCTCTTCCAATATATTATTCCATAACATCAACATTAGCATAACTGATCTGTTTTTACATATTTTCCGTGTAATTAAACGTGACTAAGCGTGAAAACGTGGAAATCATTTTCTCACATTTCCACGCGTGGAGCGGTTGCATCTCATTTTTCCATTTTTTTTTCCATCACTCCTTTCTTCCACATCCAATGCTATATTACTCTTTCCTATTTTTATTCTCCACCCACATTCGCCTTTCATTCTCTTCATCGAACTCTCTTTATCTTAAAAGGTTATAATTGTTGATGGTGTCATCTTGTATTTCCCATGTTCCAAACCAGATATGTTATTGAAACAATAATTATTCATTTGTATTGTCTTTCAATCTCACATGAATTGATAGATTTCTATGAGTTCATTCAAATTGCTCTGGTTTATTCACATCTTTTGGGGATATAGCTTTGGCTTTCGTCTCATCAGCTTCTTGTGACCGTTGGTGTGATGAGAAGTACAACGAAAACCAAACTTAATTAATTTTTTCCTTTCGCTTAATTCATAACTGTCATGCATTCCGTTTATCAAGTGTTTTTCATCTCTACTCTCTCTCTTTCTCTTTTTCTCTCTCATTCTCTTCGCACTAATTATTAACAGCAATAGTTGAGCTTCAAAAGATTGCCACTTTGCTCATTGAAGTTGGCGTAGTCCGTCAACTCGCCACCATTCGTTAGCTCTTGTAATCTGCCCCGCTTACTCTACCTCCTGAAGAGCCTTAATCTTCCTGATATTCTTATCGAAGTATGAGCGAAAAGCTTAGGAATTTTTGAGAAGAAAAAAAGTCTTTAAAACGCTGGAAGATTCTCATAGAAAGTCAGACTCTCTAATGCGATTGTTCCACAAAAGCATAATAGAGGCCGGCTGACTTTTCAATTACATTAAGGCCACGGGAGGCTTCAGCGATGCTGTACTGAAAACATAAAAGTCACTTGTCAAAGCCATATTTGAATAAGAAAAAATTGCTTTTAAATTTAGTTGAAATCATAATGATCAAAAATGTTTATGCAGACGTTACTTTTTCTCTGTGAATTGCCCTTCTCTCTGAGTGCTAAGTCTTTGGATGAAAGCCTTTCTCGGTCATTTACTCCTCATCTTATCCTTTTACTCTTTCGAGCTTCTTTCTATTCATCTATGCTTTCAGCATATTCTTTATTTCGAACCGAAGATGGTCTGAAGACACAATGGGCTGCTGTGTGTCTTCAGAAACAGATCAGTTCCATGAGAACCGTAAAAGGAGACAATCGTAAGTTTACTCTTCAGTTGTTATCAATTCATCGAAAACACTTCTCCTTATCACATTACATTGAATAGCATGTGGTTTGCACGTGTATAGCAACTGCCAAAGAGTAATAAAAGAGAGTTCTAGAACTTCCTGAGTTTTTCTCTCTACAGTATTTTGCGGGAAAAGAAAGGATTTATTTGTACGACTTCGACTACATCGTCTCAATCTGAGAAGACGATGCTACGGAAGACGGAAATGTTGTTACCACTTGAAGATTTCTAACGACAAGGACATTAGAAGAAGCTTGAAATCCCGGGAATTTGTTCATGACAAGACGTATATTCAAGAATTCCTCATGAAAACATCACCTGATCGTATGTTTTCATAAAGAAGATGAAATATACGAGACGTCTCCTTTCATATAGCAATAGTTTATATTATTTGGCAACTATTGGCAAGCTTCTCGAGATGTTTTCAAAGGTCAAAGGTTTTCAGTTCGAAGTTTCCAAGCACACTACTCAAGTCTCTCTCTCTCTCTCTCTCTCTCTCGAATGTTTTTTGATTTCAGTTCACTTCAGAACAACATATTAAATAAAAAAAACTTTCCTCCCAATATAACTCATGGAAGAATAAACACTTGCTGATTCCAATTTGCATTTCCAATTGTTCAAGCGTTTTCTCATTCTTCCAAACGAAAGTTCAAAATCCTTACTTGGACAACTTCATGGTCGGCAGTAAAACGAATTAGGAAACATGATAAAAACTATTTCTATGAACTTCGAACACAAATATATTATTTCCAGTGCAATGGGAGTTGGTATGGGAGTTGCTATGATGATGCAACAGGCTGGCGCAATTGTGGGAGCACAAGCGCCTACTATGGACCCTACAGCATTGCAAGGGCAAATCAGAAAAGCGAAAGTTTGCAGAGATTATCAAACAAGTTCAAAGAGATTTTGTTATAGGCAGAAGGACGTACAGTCACTATGGTTAATGGAGCATTATATTTCGATTATCAGCTTGTTGCACGAATCCCTCCACACTTTGATATTCGAATATAACAGAATGACATTCCAATTGGAACTACTTAGCTTTACCAATCATTCAACTACTTATTCATTTTATTTATGCATGTTGTAATGTCTAACACTGAAGTCTCATTGTACTCTGATTATCACTCTTTCTCCGATTCTCAACATATTTATGATGATTCAACAAAAAATAAAGAAATATCATTGAGGGACATTAAGTACAAAACGTATTGAGAAGTAAAAGGATATTTCGAAGCCAGTCAAGAGAAACGCATTATAACAAGTACAGGTCCCAAAACGAATAATTCATGGAACAATTGGGCGGCTCAATCAAATTGCACCAATTTGGTCCAAAACATTTTATTTTTGTTCAAACGCCCATCATTTCTCATATTTCATGCACTACCTGCGTTCTCGACGTGGACTATCACGCCATTTCAAATTGCGTGAGCATGCAGAGCGGTTGTGTCGATGTAAGAGTTATAATGTTTTTGCATAGATCGTCTTTCAAAAAGGAGTCTATCGACATGATTCCCTAGTTCTTTTTCAATTAATCGTGTCTCAGCATACAATCTTCATTTTCTGACCCATATCACCTCAACTATTTTGGATATCAGCTGGATGTCAGTAACACTAGATGATTTGGGATTTCATTCACTCTTTCGAGCTGAAGACTAAGAGAGATATAAGACTTCAATGAAGTCAGGGCAAAAAGATGACAATATAATGAAATTAAGACAAAAACGGAAATTCCGATGAAGTGTCCACGTCCAGATGTTAGGAACGCATAATCAACTTAACTGTTTCTCTAACTAAATGCCATGGCCACGTCTCCGACATATAATAGCACGGAATCTTGTTCCACGGCTCAAATACTAATCAGCTCCGTCAAAGTTTTCTAGGACTTTCAGTTACGCTTTCTACTTCATTGAAAAACTGCGATAACCCAACTCTTCCTATTTAAACGAATATTTTCATCATCAGAACTTATATACCACGTTTCAATAAAAGTTGATTCGCACCAGGAACCAATTTTGGTCAATCAGTCTTCCAGATTTGCCGAACTCATCGACTCCTTAGGATTTGAGTCGGACCATGGGTTGGAGGCGAGCTAGTTGTGACGTCACACGATCTTGAAGCTTCTGTATCTCGAGAACAAGTAGTCAGAATCAATT